AAGGTTTCATCTATCAAAAACACAATAGCATAAGAGACATAAGCCAATCAAAGGAACACCTCAAATCGAGTATCACATGCCATGAGATGCTGTTTCAAGATCTAAAAGAAAATGACCAATTCAAGATTTCCATTGTCGAGACTTTTATCAAAACCTTTCAAGTACTGAACCAAGTCCTCATCGAAGCTGGCGAGACCAATCAAGCTCTCTTAGTTTGTGAACGGAGACGAGCTCGAGCTTTGGGTGATCTTTTGAGCTGTAAATATAGCACTATCGATGGAGCCACTTTAAAAGATCAAACGGCAATGGAACTTGATGACATTAGCGCAGTTCTAATGAGTTCTGATACCTGCATTCTATTTTATAATATTCATTATATAAAGCACATTGCTAACATGTGGGTCATAGCTCCAGAAACCGAACCAATCTTCTTCTACGATGAAAGGGTCCAGCCAGAAGCTTTGAGAGAAATTTCCTGGGATATGTCTGAAGGTGACGGAAAGGATGTGAAAAATGGAAATTTTAAACTCCTCGTCGAAAACAGCTTTCAATACATGGGCATTAGAGAAGGAATGAAATGCGAAGACAGATCTCTTGGATTATTAGAATGTGAAGACAACGACTCCAAAACCGCTTCAAACCCCAAAAGAACCGCTATGGATGATGAAAGTTGCAGATGGATGCAGGAGGCAGAATGTGAAGAAGACGTGCCACTAGAAATGCTGTTTGATAGATTAGTCGCCCCGGTGCTGAACAAGCTGACCAAAGATGAGATTATCATCATTCCAGATGGCCCTCTATTTATGCTGCCATTCGCTGCTCTACAAGATCCAAAGACAGGAAAGTTTTTATCAGAAAGCAAACGCATTCGCTTGGCACCATCTCTGACGACTTTGAAGATATTACTGGAATCCTCGGATGACAATTATTCCAAGGTAAAGATCAATTCTACTGCGAATGTTTCTCCGTTAAATCAAAACTCCAAAATTCACCGAGCTGCATTCGACAATACTCCCTGCTGGGAATATTAGGAGTTTGTTCGGTTTTGAGAGAGAAATCTCAAATGCAGTGACGTGGAATTCGTAGTTTTGATGGACATGGCAACTACGATGTCTCGTATTTTTCCAAAAATTGCTTAGCTTTGTTTTCTTACAGTGATCATGCGCGCACTATAATCATAAAAGAACCCTCTGTCTATGAGGGATTTTTTATTCCAACATATAGTATCGCTGAGAATAATTCTGCTATTTTTATTATTAGTCAGGTGCGCTCATCATTGGTAACCCAGCAACGGGAAAAGTCATGTATAAAGGTAAACAAAGGAGCATCACCTCTTTACCAGGTGCAGAGAATGAAAGTAAAGAGATTGGMAAACTACTCGGAGTACAACCGTTGATAGGAGAACACGCTACAAAAGAACGAGTCCTAGCAGAACTCAAACGGGGTGTCTCGGTCATTCACTTTGCTGCACATGGATGCGAGGAAAACGGACAGATCTTTCTTGCTCCTTCTCAACCTTCAACAACAAAYAACATTCCAGAGGAGAAAGACTACATYTTGACTATGAAGGAAGCACAAGACAGTRGAATTCGTGCTCAACTCGTTGTRTTGAGCTGCTGCCACACTGGTCGGGGTGAGATCAAATCAGAGGGAGTCGTRGGAATGACTCGAGCATTTCTTGCTGCAGGAGCCCGTTCRSTTGTAGCRTCATTGTGGGCYATTGCTGATGAAGCTACTATGTTATTTATGGTGAAATTCTATTCTCATCTCAAGAATGGAGAGAGTGCAAGTACGAGCCTACAGCAAGCAATGAAGGAGATGAGAGAAACAGAGAAATACAAAGAGCCAAAATACTGGGCTGCCTTCTTTCTTATTGGAGACGATGTAACCATCACTGTTTAACTTCCCGGTAGAACTATGACATGTCAAAACATTCTACGGTTCTAACGACAGAGATGAATGGTTTCCAATTTCACAACAAAACAAAGAGARAAAAAAGATAGAGAAAAGGCGAATGACAGCAAAACACTATAAATAGAGAAGGAGAATCACTGGAACATAAAACTAAATTGTGAAAAATAGATAATTTGAAATTCAACTATCGGAGAGTCAAAATTTCCCGAGTTTGAGAAGATGTCTCCTTGTGCAAACATGYTGTGACGTCATAGTTTTATAGAAATGCTGAATATACAAATAGTACAAACAAGTTTAACAGAAATACTTGATCAGAATWAGAGCTGCCGTATTGTAGGCTAACTTATTCTTAGTCTTACACTTAGGTTTACAGGATTGTTTATACAGAATTATACAGACTTTTTCTGTTTACTTGTACCAAGTTCAATGGGAAGCTGCAAGTCTAATAGTCTATTTATTGGTAGCGCTTTACTAATCCATCTCATAGACTATAATGCATTCCAGTTCTAGTTTTGCCTTCTAAGTCGTAGCGTATTTGAGCTTCACATGGGGCGTGGTTTATAAGTCATATTGCAACTAGCTAGAGAGCACACAACCTTCTTCCTGTAGTAATCGTCTTTGATTCGATTTTTAAAAATGTAATAGGTGCTGGCTCGCATTGCGAAGAGACCTTTGATTAGCTCATCTCGGTGTACTGAACAAAAACTTAAAAATATAACGCTATTTGCTAGGATCAAAATGAACGCAAAKGATGCAAAAATCGTCATTGGAAGCGGGCAATCATCATCCCGTTCCTAAGGTAAAAGCCGTTCTATAAATATCATGATGATCAYGTGTTTCTTCAGCTACGCTTGAGACAGACTCAGAGTTAGACAGATTGATAAGTCAAAGCTGTTCATTTCAAATTAGTTCCATTGAAGGACATCAACTATATTCTGCTTATGTTATTACCGAGAGTATTTTTATGAGAACATTTGACTTACTTAGCGATGCTCTGCAGTAGTTTGAGTACGTGTTGTAAGGCATCTCTGGTTTTCAGATTATTTCTAGTACTTCGTTGTAGCACATCATTTAGGTAGTTAGTTATCAGAGATGAGACTTGGTAGGCAAGGCCTGACCACTCTATGGCCCCACTACGATAGTCTGAAATGTATTCCAGTATAAGCAATAGAAATTATTTTCTTTAAAACTATTAAAGGGCTACTTGGACGAAAATTGCGAAACATTAGAAAAGACTTGGAAATCAAATAGACCTATCCATATGGGTCTAATGATCATGAAGCAACAGATTTTAAGAAGATATTGATACAAATCCTTTTAATCCTTTTAATTATTAAAAAAATTTGGGCTAAAACTATGTTGGAGTAGATGACGTCATTTACTCCATCCTTTTGTTYTTCCATCTTTTGAATCAAAATTTCTCTGATGTGGGATAATTCCGGAACAAATATTTTCCCGCAATTGTTTTTAATAGATATAATGAGTCATATATTTTTATTGTTTGAAGTTTTGAAACAAGGCCATTTTCATGCAAGTAGCACTTTTAAAGATCCTGTTTGTTCAAAGCCCGATAAGCGTTATATAGCGCCAACCYAGGTTTTGACAACTGGATACTGGACAAAACTATGATTTTTAAAATTAAAAGCATTTTAATCAAAAATAGAGTTCAGAAAAGCATTAAAATAAAATTGATTTGTTAGTTCTTTTAGAATTACTACGTACCCTGATCTTTCTCCCACTGGACAAATCGATCCAACAAAACCTCGAAACTAGCCCAAGCCATTGACGATAGATTGTGTGACGCCATTGGGTTGTCACKYYCRAGAACGCACAGCTTATCAAGTAACGCAATCACACCACTACGAATCACGCAACGCTCCTCTCTCCATGAGAACGGACAAACAGATAAAGTAATGATACTATTACTGTAGACTARAGGATCAGTRGACGCCTGTTGTAACAACGACTGTACAACATTGCTAAATTCTGCTCGAACAGCTTCCACCAATCCACCACACTTGAGCTCATCGACTCTGGAAAAAAAMGTCATGTCAAGATGCCATGTTGAGAGTAGTATAGAAGGATCCAAGTAGCGTTWGAGGAGRAAAGGAGAGCAGATGACAAGGTTAACAGACTGGATATCTGGAAAGTGTGGTCAAATGCATCCAAGACAGCTTACCTGGGCCCTTGCGACAGTATCGAAGCCACTGTGTGGAGAAGATTAGGAAGACTTCCAGGCATGCCACAACACATGTTAACCAAGTCACGCATGTGGAGGARMGCTTGYACGCGTGACAAACCACGTTCATTGCGTATTCTCGCTGCGGTTAAAAAACTGTTACACGATATCTGTAACACAATACAACATAAGTCACGCAATGTGTTGAACAACCATTAAAATCAACAAACGTGTTTGATTTACCACTTTGTCACGGTCACTACCAATGAAAGTAAAAATGTCATCCACKATAGTACCAAAGTCCAGACTGTGTACAGCCCCCTCGGGATGGGATGTCACGCCAGAGGATTTGTTYTTTTTCTGTACAACGTTTCTCCATCGTTGGAGTCGCCGCAGATCCTTCGCTCCTTCCTGAACGGAAAGAGACCGGTGAAGTTGCGAGGGCGCTGAAAGGGAACGATAGAACAGAGCCGTCTTATCCTCGGATTTCAGATTTGCGTTGTCTGAAATTAAAAAAAAAAACAGACTATAAATACATACAAGTAATCTAATTGACTCGGAGTCGGAGCTTCAAGGCGTGGCAAGGGTGTCATTTGCAAGAGACTTAGCCGTACACGAGACAATGTATATTGTGTTAAAGTTTCTGAGTACATTCTTCGCATATCAGCAACACAATAGGCTTTTAAAATATCAGTAGATGATAGCCTTTGCAGTGTTTTTTCACTCTTCGTTAATAGAACTTTAGAACAGTAGAGGTTTTTATGTGATATACCGTACCGAAATGCATTGTAGGATATGTTTGGTCAAATTTCTTTTGTTTTCTCCAGAAATTRATCCCAAAMTGCATTGCAAATCACGTGGGTGACGTAAAAGCTTCAGAAGTCTATAGTCAACAAGTGCCGACGTAAATAAGATAAGCTAATTAACTTGGTTCTCGAGAGACATAAAATAGAAATATTGATTGCGAAGCCCTTATCATCTAGGACTAAGTCATGTTGTTGTAAAGCTGATCAACGACGACGTTTTGCCARAAGACACCGCACAACAACCGATGAAGTCAACGAGTAAAAATGAAACAATTTGAAACTGAGAGGTGCATCTATATATTTTTTTACTTTGATACCTAAATTCATGGCACTAAATGTGCCTTGTGATATACTTCGTCCTGGAGCATCTTTCTTGGAATCGTTCTTAATGGTAACACTGCACAGCAACTCACTACATTCCATCAACAAATGYCTCTTCTCTCTGGTCTTAGGCATCCTTGAAAGCAAGTCCTCTGGATCATACTTAAGACTATCTGTTTTAGCATCAGAATCAAGTAGTTCTCTGGAAGACGTAAACAGAAAGCGGTTATAAATGTACATGCAATCCGTAGTAGACCTCTGAATCTTTTACGTCATTTTCAGTATACGCAATGCATTGTATGATATGTCTTTGAAACTGATCCCATAATGCATTGCAAATCAAGTAGGTGACGTGAAAGCTTCAGAAGTCTATTCTCGAAGGGGCTTTCCGGTAACAAGTGTTTTATGATTATATTTTACAACATTAATCAATAAYAGGCATGATAAGCAGTGCAAAAATCAGGATCTGAAAGTGTACAAAGTGTACTGTAAGGACAACACAACCAGTGAAGTATGATGGCCCTTGTGCTGAAAAACCCGCGACACCATTATCATTTCTAGAACGGCATCCAGGGATCTCACACCGAAGACCCACCTGATTAGTAAGATAATATACTTACATCAACTTTCCAACCACCTGTTCTTGCTCCATTGGATCAAACTCGATGCCCTTCATGTTGCACAAKAGCTCTAAATCTTTTGACTTCACCTGAAAAATAAGAAGTCACGTCATGCTAAGATAGCTATACCAAACAGAWATAGAATGGCTTTACGTAAATGTGCTGTTGAGCAGAAAGTTGTGCGTTTCAAATTGAAACCTCATTAGTGACGTCATTATCCATGGTTTGAATTCTGAAAAGTGATCATTAAAACAACAAACAACAAACACAATAATACGACTACTAATACTTGTTATTCGTATACGGGTTCAACAGACGATCTTCAAGATGCGCAGGAGCTACTAAAAAACATCGTAGACGCAAGTACTTCCCAGACTAGTCGCCTCATTTAATGCGTGTGTTTGCGATATTTTTTGACAGCGCCCACGCACATCGGAATTTGTCTTTCACCTCTTGTAAATGATATTCATTGAAGAAAGCTGCGCTTGGTTGCAGAAGACCATGTCTTATATCGTCTACTTCCTGGCTCCATCGCAGTTCGACCTCGGTCATTGCTTGAAACTGACGAAGAATACCATCGAGTCTTCTGAACACACCYCTCATCGTTTCACATAGTCGCTGATATTTAATACTCTCAAAGTCTGCAACTTGTAGCAACTCCAATCCATGAATCACATCGGACATGTCAAGGTGTCTTATCACAGCACTCAGTATGACCTCCTCGATGTCGTAGGGTTGYAATGCTTGTTGTATGCTGGGTCGTAGAGTTGGAGCGAGGACACCTGACGTGTCACGAAGGCGCTTGATAAGTTGTGGTGATAGTTTCTGTCGTGGTTGRGGACTGGGCTGGGTTGATTTGTCAGGTGTAACTGTAATGGTGATGCCACATGCTTCTGAATCTTGTAGAGGTGTAGCTTGAGTTTTCTCCCACACGCATCTACAATCAGSACACTTATTTAGCTTAGCTAGTTTGYTATGAAGACTTTTTATTAAATCGGGGACAGAAAGAGTTGCTCATTTTTARAATTTCACTAAACATTGTTATGGAGGGGGTTGAGCAAGCTTTATGTGGATTGTGCAACAAGAGAACAAAAGAGCATTGTGCATTAGTCTCATCCTTTTTGGGATTATAGTTTTGCTCAGTGATATGATAGTGACAATAACGTAAAGCTAGATATTCTGTTTAGACATTACTGGGGAAATAATGTGCTGTTCGTATGAGATAATAGTACTTCAAGTCCTATAACGATATTCTATCGCTGATTTATATATATGATGAAGAGTAAATTCATTAGGAATGATAGCGATAATAGTTCAGTAAACCGAAAGTAGTACCTTTGTAGTAACTGAGAATCTAGTAAGTGTTTACAGATGTTTTCTTCGTCAATTGACAACGGTCCATCGTAGAGAACACTTAGAAGTTTGTAGCTAAGATACAGTAAGCCAAGGGCAACATCTGTTAATACTGGAACAGTGACGTCGCTTTGTTCTTCGTCTTTCTGTGGATAATCAATAATCGGTTCAAGCTGATAGAGCTGTAACCTCGTTAATCCGGCCACAGAATAGACACCGAAAAGTGGTCGTATTAACGGAATGGAGGTATTTACCCAGTAAAAAAGTATGGGGGTTGAGATCACTAGGACCTGGTATGTTGGCCGTTATGTGACGGGGTGGCCGTATTAAGCGAGTGACCGCAAGGCAGGTTTGTGACGAATAACAACAGCAATGATGCAACATAATGTCCGACGATATCAAAAGAATCTCACGTTTTCAAACTAAACCCGTCCAAAATTTATAGCCAAAGAGCCTGAACAAACGTGAACAAAAGAGAAAAACGACAAAGAAAATAAACATTTGTACCAAAATAAAGCAGTGCAAAGGAATTGGAATAAGAACGTCATAATGAATAACTAAATGAATGAAAAAAAGAGGTTACCTTTAAGCTTACAGTACAAGCGAATCCCCAGACAGCTCGGTCGGGAGTGTTTCTTTCACGCGTGCTTTTAACCTGGAAGCTTATGGTAACACTTTCACCTTCAACCTGATTCACGACAAAAACTGAACATTAAAACCATATAGAGTTGAGTGTACACCGTTGACAATATCTTTAAAGAAAAGATGCTTGAACATAATAAAACGGAGTAGCGAAGAACTTGCTCCTCGCGAAATAGAATTACGGTGATTTAAAAGTATTTCCAAGGTAGGGGTTTAGATAATTCTTCATATACTACTCGACTTCATTCAATAATTGGTTCATATCTTACGGTTATGATATCTTTAGGCCAGCCTAAATTAATAACACCTTTACTTCCATATCCATATGAATTACCACCGTACTCGCCAACCTTCTTACCGCTTGGACTAGTGTTGGCATACACGATAACCTAATAATAGCAACAAAATCATAAAATCGTTCTCGAGTATTAGGGGACGATTCGATCATACATTGAATTCCATTAACGCTGCTAGCTTGTAAATACATAAAGACACATAAAATTGAAGGAAAATTCACAAAGAAGAATTGTAATTTTAAACTTTAGATAAATAGCARATTTAATGTTATTGAGTGAGACATTTTAAAGGAGTTTGGAACTTTACGTTGAATATTTCTGCAAAGAAATTAAAGTATAATATATGCAAATGATATTGACACTCCATCTAGTCTTCTTCGCAGCCGTTTTTGTACTCAGGGACTACAGTCCATTAAATTCAAATATAGACTTATACCGGTCTTGTTACGTGCCTTATCATGTTCCCAKAGCATACCTTATCGTATTCATATTGCGTGGCACATCGCGGGTCAAACTTGACATAAAGACATTTCGCGCCTTTGAAGGTTACAGTCTTAGTAAACTTGTAGTCGTCACGGATTGGATGAATGCTTTCCACCCTRTTCGAACGTGTCCAAATAGAGAGGTCTGGTAAGGAGGACGTTAGTGATTGGTTGRTTTCAGACTCTTCTCCGTTCTGGKTTGCACTTGMTTGTAGACGGCAGAACAACTTTGCAGTCTGATTGTGAAATAAAGTTAACTACGAGTAAGATATTCGTGAGCGAGATACCTAAGGTTATGGTCAGATATCCAATCTAACAATATTCTTATTTGTATCTCCTATGGCCCTATGTTGAGCGCGACGAACCAAATAGTTTATTTGTTTCGATCCAATTACATTTGGTACGGCGTTGATTCATACGTCCAAAGAGAGTCGAGAGCGTAAGAAAATGTCCCATAAAATGCAATTATTTTTTGTCTAAAAAGAACTCGACGCGACGAAATCTCGACGTTTGAATCAGCGTCGAACGTATTTGTCGTGCAGCACGACTAGCGTTGCCGTGCCACTGCCGTGCTACAGTCGCGTCAAACTGATTCATACGTCGAGCTGTTAGTGAGCCAAATTCAAACTATTTGGTTCGGCCTGACGATAATACGACGGATGAACCGGGTTTRGAGATAATTATTGAGAAGGGCAAGTTTGACCTCCACCCCTCCCTATTGAAAATCCACTGAGGATCTTCCTCTATGATACATACCTTAGTAGCAGCAATAGTTGTAGATGTGACCSTTGATAGCAATCCAGTCGCTAATGGAAGACTACAGAACTTTGAATGAGTAAGAATAGTCATCAAGAACACAAGCACTTGCCCTATGGGTGTGGCTTTGACAACTTTCTCAAGACCCTTGAGACGSAACGCTAGTATRTCTTTTTCCTTCACTTGTAACTTGCTTAGAACTTCGAATACGTCTTCAAAAAGCTAAAACAAATAATGAAMAGATGAATACAGTGGAACCTCGTTARTCCGGMCAGTGAAGCAAGACCAAAAAGTKGTCGTATTAACGGGGTGGCAAAGAATCACTTGGGGTATAGAATATGTGAGTTAAGATCGCTGGGACCTAAAAGCTTGGCCGTAACGAGGTTTTCGGAGTTGACACTCGTTAAAGTGCATACACTACGTGTCTTGAAGACGATGACTTTTTTCGTGCAAACCAAAATGGGATAATATGTGGATACTAGTTCGCCTTAGCAGAGAGTATAATCAGCGTGAAAAACCTAGGCATGAGAAATGACTGTAATTACTGCATACTGTAAATAACTAATACCTTTTGACATGCCTCGAACATCTTATTGGCCAACATGATGGACTCAACGTTTTTGGATATGAATTCAGACACCTGARAATACATAGAATATCAAGAAAAAATACTTCATTTTACAAATGATTGGATATTTCATGTGTTGCTAGGAACTACTATCTAGAACTACTAAGTAGAATTTCGATTTGATTCTGTAAGTTACCTTCCCTGGCGCCATAGATTTCATAGTGACATTTAGTGACATTGCATTTTTGTACGCAAAAAAATGAGAATATGAAATGACGTCTTACCCAGTGATCGTGGAGACAAGGACTTAACTCCTAAACCTTCTTACCTCTGCCAAAGATCCGTCGGCATTACAGTCCTCAGACAACATCAATTCTTTCCAGGTTTTTATTACCAGATTAGAGATGTAGGTCAATGTGGCTGAAGTGTCCTGKTAATGAAAACATAGTGATGAACACCAGTCTTGACGATCGAATGGTGYGGTCCTTTTTCAAGTTCAAAGCTGATGACCGCTGTTTTATATGACAACAGATTCATTTGCGCAAAAGCCTTACCAAAAACTAAAGATCMCAATGTAAAATGATGTGATTCCGAAAGCCCTGATAGCTTTTTTATTACTCAGACTAACCCTATATTCTCAGAAGGCTTAAACCTTTGTGCTTTAAGTCTAAGGGCTGTTGGATGACAGCATTTTTCAAGATTTTCCTTGTTTTGAAAATCTGTTCTATCATATAAAAAACTGTTATCCGCGCCAAGCAGTGTTGAAGAGATTATATAAGATGGGTAAACTTACTGGCTGTGATGCAGTTAACTCTGAAAACTCTTCATCATCGAGTGAGCAACATAATGCGATATTTCTGGATGATTCCGCTACGCAAGTCTTAATGAGTCGACTCACTGCATCATATGCTAGTCTGTAAAGTAAAGTAAATTTAAATAACTACCATAGGACTCTATCTAGGGGCGGTAAGAGGAACATCCCGAGGATGTCGTTCAAATTACTATAAATACAGAACTCCTTGCACTTTCATGGTGCATATGCTAGTCTGTAAAGTAAAGTAAAGTAAAATAACAGCCAGAGCACTCTATCTAAGGGCGGTTAGAGGCATATCCCGATGATGTCGTTCAAATCACTATAAGTACGGAACTCCTTACTTGCACGATGCATCACGCGATTTRACAGTGTTCAACTGAAGAGCAAGTTCATGAAGAAGCATTTCTCTGAGCATTAAAACGCCACTCGAGTCTTTCTCAGACAGCAAGACCATYAACAGCGCACTCTGTTCCTTTGACTCCCTGTAAAACACACGTAACCCACACACAAAGGCTTTACAGGCTTCAAGACGAATTTGGCTAYGCGTGGAGCTTGAACAAACTAGCATCCAGACCAACGAGCGTAGATCTTTCACTAGCTGTGAATCTTGTTTGATATCATTTGTGACTGTCAACTTGAGAAATGGTTGAAGAGCCTGTAGGAGACTTACAATGGTATTTTGATGTTTGCCAACTATCGCAAGATGAAGGACATCGTAAATCAGTTTAAGACAAGCATCATCAAATGGCGTGTCGACGGCGAGAGAGGMAYTCAAATGAGCRTCTAATGTTTTAGAAAGGATACTGATTTGAGCCGTAACGAAAGAGATGACCTGTGTAGGACTTAGTAAGTCAATGGTATTGAAAATATCTGCAACAAGAAGAAATATGGAATATCACAAACTGATACATACAGTATTTCCAGTTTTGTTTCGTATGCTTCGCCGTTTATATTTGTTTGAAAGCATGAGTACCCAGTGAGGTAGGCAGAGAACGTCTGAATCTGCAAAGATCTTAAGGTGTTTCGATCGTAATAAATAGCGCTTCACGCGTATTATTAAACTCCAACTACGTCGCATATTTTGGTTTCATTCGGCACTCAAATTTTCACAGAAGTAACAGTGATTATCGATAATTCTTGTTGATAAATTAATTTGCCAAAAAGCGAAGCCATTTGGATAAACGATGCAAAATAAAAACACCTACATTTTTCTTCAAAGTTAATTTTCTCGAAACTCATCGCAGAGATTGTATATATAATTGATATACTGACGAAGTTTCAATTAAATCTTAACCTAAAATTTCGAGTTGTTTGAGCAAAATGATGTACATTCGAGCGCTATTTATTACGATCGAAACACCTTAAGGTAAAAACTACCATCTACATCAGTAAAATTGAAAATATAGATGAGGCCTGTGTGATTTTTTTTATGTCATTTTGTCTTTTCTCAAGGTGACCGYTTAAAAGAGTTTCGACTGCAATTYAGGGAAGTTACAAGAATTGCGTCGAAAATTTCATWKATKTCAATTTTCAATATCACTTCATCGTTCTTTCCTATTTTTAGTTTACAAGTGCTTTGTTTTCATGGTTTTGAATGAATTTTCACTWAGAATAAATGGATTATCCATCACGGAAACTGAATAAGGGACACGTAAWCAATGGTTTCATTGGATGAAGTACCGCGTTTCCTCAACCCATGACTTCCATCATMAATCTTCCTAGTCTCASTAYAGACAACTAATATRCAACTTCCCTTCCYTTTCTCTTACACCTGTCGTCCTTGTTTTAGCCATACTAAACGTGTATTACTATTTCTTCTTACCAATATCTGTTATGGCTAATTGCTGYATAACTGAGTTTAGGCTTGGATATCCACTGTTGATCCATTCGTGGATTTTCCCATGACCAAASGTCCAYAGAAGACCGTTGGAAGGGTCACAACAAATACCTTTAAAGGAAGATAAACCTARCGTTCAACTRGTGTGTGCGACATCTGTGTTTTCCAATGAAATTATAGAGATAAAATCATAACTTTTACACCGATTCAAGTAGGAAAACGTCTGAATGTTGGTCCTATGTTCAATGATGACATGTAAAACGCAAAAAAGGCAAGAAAGAAGGTGTTTGATAGTAACGACAAAGTCATATTTTAAGGGTTCAAAAGAAGAGTTTGTATAGTAAACTTAAATTTATAATAGGTGTGCGATCATGACTTTGAAAGCCATATACATCCCGTTATTGCCCACGTTTGAGGAAATTAAAATTGAGTACGTTATTGTGTCACTGAAAAGATTTCACAGAAAAAAAAATGCAAAATTCCATTAGTAATCCAATCATTGTTCCTGGATTACCAGAACGAAGTTCAGAACAATTGCTTTTCAATTCTATTCACAAAACTAAAGAAAAAGTTTTGTTGCTTGATTCGCTCTCTATTAGCACTGTGGTTTAAAGACGTGTATTTGTATGTGGAAGAGCGAAGGTTCAAGTCTGTTTTCAGAAAAATTTGTTAATAAACAAATAGCGATTTTTTTTCCATGTTTCATTTTCAAATCATGGGATGGGACTGTACATACCCAGCCTTGGTATGAAAAAACTTTGCCATGCATTATCACCACAGCTGTCTATCACATTGTCTTTATAAATAAGTTGACCATCAAACAATGAGAAACAACAGTTTAAGGGATCTGTTAAGAAAGAACATAATATCGTGATGATAAATAAAACCATTTCTAAAGGAATTGATATATGATGTATGCTGTGCTTGATGACAGTGTCACTCGAAAATATGTTACCAAACCACTCTGTTTTGCGTCATAGTTTTCTGTGCCTCTTGCCTTTCCTATAATAATTCTGGCGTATAACAATCCCTAATATTTTGATAGTCTAAGAGTGTAACAGATAGAATTCTGTTTCATATTTTCTAAGACAGTGACTGTGATTTTGGTAATTAATATCAAGATAAGTCATCATGGTTTAGCATACTTTTCTTGGTTCTGATGACATGTATCTTRGGATCACAGGAAGGCGGGGAGTGAGGCGATACCACCACTAGCATGTTACTGCTGACAAACATTGGCGTTTGAAGGAGTCTGTCATGGKTCAATCCTAAGTCTAAAGATATATAAAAAGGAAAAAGAATAATTTCAGAATATTTCTTTATCATAGAATTACATCATGAATCATTGTATCRTTCTATGTAATTGTGAATTTGATAGGAAATAGATTTTTCACAATAAATGCCAACCCCCTAGGGTTTTTTACCATCCCTGGTGAAAATCTTAGACAAGATCCTGTAGGATCTTAATTAGGATCTTACAAAGGATCCTGACAGAATCCTGTAAGATCCTATAAGATACAGTGAAATCCTGTAGGATCCTGTAGGATCTTGAATAGGATCTTACACAGGATCCTGACAGTATCCTTTAGGATCTTGAATAGGCTCTTGAATAGCATCTTGAATAGGATAACAAAAGGGATCCACAGCCCCTGCACCCATCTGCTGGGTATCTACCCCTGCCCCACCCTGCCTCTCAATCCAGATACTAACCACAATCTGCTAAAGATGTGCYAGTGTCAGTGAAGTGAACTGGATTATCTTTCACTTTAGAATTCTTGATAGAAATAGTTACTGCAGATCTGACTGAAACAGCCTCATATATTGGCATCATGTTGRTATCATTATTTTTCTCCTATTGGAGGCAAAGGGTAATGAAATTAGACATCAACTCAGCATTCTGTATACATAACATTTAGACAACTAAATAGAATTAATATTAAAAACACAAAGAAATATAATATATATGATTTACCTTGGTTTCAATCTTGAATTCCCTGACAAAAAGTTGAAAATCTGAAGGTTCTTSATTGGGTTGAGATGTTGCTTGTGTTCTAGTGGTATAGATCCAGTATAGACGCACACCATCACTTGTAAACTGGACGGTCATTATCTTGGTATTTACTTCCATATTAGGGCTTTCAAATGACTCACTGAATTCTATAGTAGTCTTAACCTGGTTTTATATCATTCAAAAATCTATTACCAAGTTGTGCAATTATTAATTATAGTTTGAAAACACTAAAATAACAGTACAGCATAAAACAGGTGGACAGAAAGTCTGGTGAAGCTGAAGTTTCATTTGCAACACATTTTTTTCCCATTCAAATTGCATGACTGGTTACAAGATTGATTGATTGGATGATTGATTGATTATATGATTGACAGATTGGGTGATTGAATGATTTACTGAATGAATGATTGATTGATTGATTGATTGATTGATTGATTGATTGATTGATTGATTGATTAAAAAAGTCTTCAGAGTGAGTGAGTGATAATTACAAATTAGTGATTGATTGATTGATTGATTGATTGATTGATTGAGAAAGTGTTAGGAGTGGGTGAGTGATAATTACATATAGTCATATATATCAAGTACTGCATAATCATTAATTTATAGTACTGTATGTCATACACACCTGGAGTGAGAATGGGTCCAAAACAAGGCAAAAAGACTTGCTTTGAGCATCAAAGGATTGTGGTCTAAACAACAGATTGTCATTATTCCATGCTACCCATCCATTTTCCATAGAGAGGTTGATATTGTACACAAATCCCCTAAAACAATAATCAATTTAATACCACATAACTTCAACCATGCATGGATATTAATCAACCCTTTTCTACTTCATTTCTATATATTTAGATGCTCTAGCAAATGAGGTCTGGCACATACCTAAAAGATCCATATTTTCCAGTTCCAATTTTTGCCAGACCTTTTTCAGAACCATTGGTTACAAATAAATACTTTCCACTGCATGAAATACTGGGGCATTTATCATCAACTTTAGAAAGTACAGGTAAGTCAGGGAATGGATTACAAGGCCATTGTGCTTTAAAATGTGAAGTTCTGAGCAATGAAGGTTTAGCGTACTTGGCTGTGGATAAGAACTTCAAAGAATTGTGAAGTACATTGCCTATAGAAATGTTGAGCAATGACGTTCTGTGTTTTAGTAATAGGAAAAGGAGTTCGATGAAGGTCTTGAGAGACATCCTGAAAGAGAAAATTAATTTCTAAAGTTATAATTATTTTGCACTTGAAAAAGAGTGAGAGAAATGCTCTTTTTGACCAAATAGTGCATATAGAAATGAAAATATTGCTACTTGTGAAATTGCTTAGAATATATATAATAAATGGATGGACAATTGATTGATTGAATAATTGAATGAATGACAGTAAAATGGTGTAAGTAGGGTTGAAATTAGAGAATGAAATTGAGTTTATTTCAAATGTAAACAATAATTTCATAAACTTTCAATATTCACAACCTCTAAATTCATTTTTTAATTCACTTGATTTGACTAATAAAGCTTTTGAAAATGTGTCAATTTAATATACTTAAACCACTCAAAACGGTTCAAGTGTGTAAACAAAAGAATTGATATTCTGCATTAAATGACTATAAGAATTTTAACACCAAACTACTAATTATGCAAAATATTCAATGAACGTTCTTGCCAACCTTCCACAAGCTAGTGCAGCAAATGCAGCAATAACATCTTCTTTCATTGAAATACTCGCATCATTTCCAGATGATGGGCTTTCCTTCACGTGTTCAGTTTCAATCCATGAGCATAACAATTCCTTCAATCCATCAATACATGAAACTGGCTCGCAACTCAGTGAATTTGGGCTGCATTCTTTTAAACAGTTTAATAACAAAGCAATACAACTAGCAGGAAGAGACGGATCAGTTCTGGTTTGGGACTGTAAAAGTGGCAGCAGTAAAAGTAAACTGATGTGAGATGTGAAAGAAACATTTTGCCCTGACTGAGAAAGGATCGATGATTCGCCATTGCCTTGCTGAGCATTGAATGAATTATGCAAAACCTTTTTCTGCAATTTCCAAAGAGTTGTTATACTTCGCTGTCTAAAGTCAAAGAATAAGTGATATGGACTGTGCTCCACGGAGTACGTAGTTCGCAAAGTCTCAGACAGTTTTGCAAGCCATGTTGGATCAAACCGGAACTCGATATCAGAATCGATCAAGTCCAATGACAAAAGTTTCGGAAGAAATTCCGGTGGACTGACGACGTTGGCTACATATTTCAGGCCATCGTGTAAAAGAATGGTTTGTTCTGTAACAGAACTCCAAGTTTCATCATCCAAGGAGATTTCTGTTGTCATAATTTGACATTGTAAGCGAGTTGCCCATCTAGGAAAGTTGCAGTAAACATGGCTTCCCGTCCAGTTTTGAATTTGCCTCGCTTCTGTGCGTGACGTGTATTTACATTCGTCACGCGAGATCAGGCGCGAAAAACGCACATAAGTTTTACTACGATTACGATTGCTACACATACCAAAAACAAACAAACACAAAAACAGCACTAATATTTAAATTAAAACAAAACACAAAAAACAAGATAAACCGAATGTTCAGTATATCAAGTAGTTTGGATAAAATGATATATATTTTCAGGTAAAAAATTATTAAAAGTACAAAAGAAAATAAGAAAATTACTAGTAAGAAGTATACGACTCGCAGCAACAACAGGCAGCAGCAACACAGTGCAGGAGTCCATAGCATGATTTATAGTTTTGTATTTCACTCTATAAAAAAGCTTTTATACATAGTTCATGAACGTTTATATCAGTAATATTTCAAAATTTAAAAAGTCATGTCAACCTGACTTCCGTCAATATAAAGAGTAATGAATGATGAGCATTACAATCAAATGATAAACAATTTAAATTTTTCCACTCCATAGCTTTGTTGGCTTTCATGATTGTTCGTTCGTTTCATGCTTTCTATGTTTCTGTGGTGGCAGAGTTTTTACTGAATTTCGGCACAAAGGCGCCAGAGTCACATTCGACTTGAAAAAATGCCGATGCACGACCTTTGATAATCACTTTTATCAATCAAGGGTAACAATTGTGTGACAAACGTCCCCAAAGTACATCGAATAGTAAGTCAAATAACAAATATTTCTCAGGAATATTTTCACTTTGTCGTCGTAGAACTCTTTTTTCTGGAGCTCAAGCATCTTCGCTGCTGTGTTTCCAGGAGCCGTCTCACAGCTTCCTGAATTAAAATTTTTTGTTGAAGCAATTCTTCGACAAATTGATGCGATGGAGAGACTGTGGAGTTGGTATGAATGCCACTGCAGTCGAAAGATGGGTACAACTTTGAGCCGATCTTTGTTTGTGAGCTTGTCGTCGTAGCGTAGTTGGTCGCATGGCTGCGGCGATTAGCTTTCCCAGGGGTAGTTGGAATGGTGAATGAATCCTCTTGGTCTTGCCTTTTTCTTGTACAAGACGGCTTCGATTGGCTATATCTTGTTCTGGTATTCATTTTGCAACTCGAATGTAAAGTGGGTGGATTTAGAAAGAAGCTGACAACTTTTGACTATGTACTTACAGGTCACAGAATGAAGTGATTTGTAAACAAAACTACGTTTTACTACGAGTCCACGCAAGATTTACTTCACGTGATATGGAGAATTCTGGTGATCCTATTGGGTGACTTGGCAAGAATGCACGTGATCATCGGTTCAAAGTTCATTTGTTCACAAACGTCATTTCATAGGCTACTTGGACGAAAATTGCGAAACATTAGAAAAGACTTGGAAATCAAATAGACCTATCCATATGAGTCTAATAATCATGAAGCAACAGATTTCAAGAAAATATTGATACAAATCCTTAATAATTTGGGCAAAAAATGTTGGAGTAGATGACGTCATTTACTCCATCCTTTTGTTCTTCCATCTTTTGAATCAAAATTTCTCTGACGTAGGATAATTCCAAAACAAATATTTTCCCGCAATTGTTTTTAATAGATATAAATGAGTCATATATTTGTATTGCTTGAAGTTTTGAAATAAGACCATTTTCATGCAAGTAGCACTATAAATGACACAGGAAAACCAGAATTTCTCTTGGGAATCCTGTGTTTTATGTAAAATTCAATATGGCGGAGGGTATGTCACGTTGTAGTGTTTTATTTATGCCAGAAAATCTTTTCTGATTCATTTGTTTTGACAATTTTATTATAGACAATAGCATAAGCCTTGTGGTCGTCATTTTCGATGCAAATCCAGTGTGGTGGGGTAGAATTGCTGCAGAGGGCACAAAAAATCAGGTAACACAATATCGACTGTTCGATCGTGCAGACATCGTATGAGCACATTAAAAACTTTGATTTAGTTACTATTTATATCTTTTATTGAAAATTGTTTTTGTACCTTAGATCAATCTATCTGGATGTATTGACAGTCTATTGGTCATGTGCAATTCACATTTAATGATGAAGCACACAAATTCCCTTGCATTCATTGCATCTCATACAAGTAGAAGGTAAATCTTTCAGCTAATATCAAACACTTTATGGTTTTTATATAAATATATTTTTGCCCTTTGGATCTCTACACCATGGACTGGAGTGGAGGTAATATTTTGTAGGACTTTGTCATTTTCAAGGCTCCCAAGGAATTAACTTACCCATGAGTCTTAGGGGTCATCACAACAACACCACAGACAGTGTTGGCAGACAGTTGCAATGACTGTATAATGGTTGGGCTATACATAGTTAACTATAGAGGACTGGCACTCCACCAACCAAGCTAATTAACTGTAGAATACATATACACGGCATGCTCCATTATCCCCACCACCTGTCTCACTGAAACTGAAAGCGAGAAKAGTCGCTTTTGCTGGGCACTGTTCCCGAGCTAATGAAGAGACCATATCCCGCCTCCTCCTCTGGAGCCCAGACCACCGCCCTGTCAGATCAAGAAAAGTGACCTTCCCCCACGTCATCGCCAGAGACACTGGAATCGGGGTCCAAGATCTTAGGGCAGTAATGGCTGACAGGGCGGTGTGGAAGTCTGTTGTTGGAGGACTCTCGGCCGAGGCCGAAGGATGATGATGATGATCCCCATGATCAGTACCTCTCACATTATCATTGTTGTACTTGTTGTGTTGCATGAGCAATGATTCATTTTAATCTCTATACTTTATATTCCACAGTAAATTTTTGTTTCCAAAAGAATCAAAGGCAGACGACAACATTGGAGAGCAAGAAAACTCTTTTCCTTCTGATAGTAAATGTGAGAAGTTTGCAGCTATGAATGATATGATTGTTGAAGAAATAAAAGAATTGATTGCTGATGTGAATTTACCAGGTTAACTTCAGTGCCTTAAAGTTCATAATGTGCATTTTTGATAGTTATATTTACTTATTAATTTATTACAAAACAATGATTTAGTCAAATAATGCTTTATAATGATTCAACTTCTCTAAAATGATATAAAATGATTATTTTTTATATTTTTTAATTCAGAGGATTCTAATAATCCAGCATCTGCTCTGCCCAGTGCTCTTTGTATGGCTTTGTGCTGTATCCTTTTATACAATTGTTATAAAATGATAAATTGTAATCCACAAATAGATAACTCTTGTTTTGCATGTTAGTCATTTGTAAAAAAATACATAAGAATTATATAATAGTACCAGACTCTTTGTGATGTCTAATGTTTCTTGATGTTTCTTGACTGAGAAAAGACATTCATAGAATGGAAAAAGAATGCCCAGGTAAACCTAAAATCATGGCTTTTAACTTTATATCCTTCATATTTATTTAAATTCTTATAAAATACAACATTTACAGTAAATCAAGATTTGGGCTTCCCTTAAAAATTGACTCCAATAAAGTTCCTAATGCTGTAAATAAATATATATATTGATCTTTATTTTTGTTTTATAGTTGGCTTCAAGTTAAAACCAAGAATACTGGTAAATATTGAAATAATGACTAGAGATGCAATAAGTCAATCAAAAACACAAGAAAATATTTGAAGTGACTATTTTCTTATACCTCCTTATTTTGCATGACATCAGAACGTAGAAAGCATGCAGCTAGGGAATGGCGAGATGAAATGCCCAATAAGAAATAGAAATAAGAACTCTTGGGTGTATTAGACAGTGCAATATCTACCTCATATCTTCAGTGACTTCAATCTAATGTTTGGATTCTAGATTGTTAAAGCATCACCAGATGAAGCTGATCAGTATTTGACAACAATGAACTGCATCTTTGCTGCACAGAAAAATGTAAGTCAATTAAAAGAAATTTTATAGGGCCACTCACCAACAAAATAATTACAATAGGCCATTTGCATTAATGATGTAACTTAACTACAACTACCAGAGAGACTTGTGCATTTTCATTGTTATTCAGATTTTTAATCCCCTTGGAGATTAATAAAACAATTGGCACTAATTGCATTACAAAAGAAAGTTGGAAAAGCATTCTGGTAGTTGTAGTAAATGACGCCATAATGCATATTGCCTATTGCCGGCAGTTTCATTAAAAACAGATCCAGAGGTGAAGGGACTGCAAAGGTCCCTTGACTGATTTGAAGTGTTGCTAATGTTTTGAATGATGAAGACTGTTTGTTTGAAAAATAATCCAAAGGAACAAGAAGGTGATTGTCTAACACTTATTTTTTAAAACAATTTTCCATCATGTTGTTGGAATGCTGACTTCACTTTAATTTTGGCTGGATATACCTGAGTGTGCATTAGCTAAACATATTGCAGCATTCATGATAAGTCAGCCACAATTTGCATTGAATCTGATGATTAACTGAGAAAGTGACACTGTAAAACTCTACAAAAATATATAGTTTTATACCCTTTAGTGAAACTGACCCTGGACTCTCGTGGTGAYCATTTTCTAATCAAATATTATTATGCCATTTTTTCAACAGAATGTAATCATTGACTCTTGTTCACTACACCAAAGTTCTGGGTTCCTACAGCAGGTATATGGTCACTATAAACTTTACCCCTGCCAGTCAATAACGACACCCCTACCACACCCACCCTCTCCATTCTGAGCCAGTTCAACCATACGTCTATTCATATTTAGTTGATAATCACTATTGTTGAATATATGATGTATTTCGCCTTTTTTTATATTTAAGACTTAATCTTTTTTGTTTAGGCAGCTGATGTAACTGGTGGTGTTTATTTAAAGATAGATGAAACACTCTCACTATTGCAACATTTATTGGTAAGAATCATTGTTTTTGATTTAACTGTAGCATGAGATTTGCAAAGCATATAAGGCTCCTCAGGAGCTCTTTTGGACAATAGTCTCAGGACTTTGGAAGATGTACATTTTTCATTCGTCCATGCATCTCAAGGTAAAGGTACACTTTTCATATCCACTTTCAATTACTGCTCCTTTGATTGATATTAGAAGATGTTTGCTGAAATAACCACTGAGAAGTCTCCAAAGTGTGATTTATGGCAAGTGTGTGGGTTAAACTGGGCATCCTTAGATACTAGTATTGCAACACTTAAAGAAGTTGCATGGCAATTTTGTCCATAAACATGCAAGACATAATTTTAGTTCTGTTTCAGTTCTGTTTTGTTTAAGTAATGCCCCGAGTAAGAACTAGGGAAGCAAACGGCACAGGAATGCAAGAARGTRSTAATTGCGCATTGTATAATCCATCCATCCCATTGGTTAAAACATGAAAATCTGCTATAATTTCCCAAGTTAGCGAATTTTCTAATATTATATTTAATGTCGTTTTTCGCTTTCATGGAAGCTTTCTTTAGCTTCAATATTAAGGCAATTCTACGTGGGGAACATTGCAAATTAGAAGCATCTTTTAGCTACTGTTTTGAGTGCTTATGATTGGATAAGAGGTTTTAATACAAAAGAAACTTTGTTTCAAAATAGAGTTTATCCACATTTTATTTCAAAAATGTGTTACCCACAAATGGATACATAATTAGTGTGAAAACCAAGACATTCGTACATGGGGAACTTGCTATGMCGCACAACAATAGAGAGCTCCCTAGTTCTTACGCGCATTGTTACTTAATTTCCTTTCCATTTGCTGATGACTTTATTCCATTTGTTAAAACTTTTAAAAAATTTATTTAGCAAATTTATATCCTTTATATGGACAGTTAGGCAAACTTATTTTAGAAGTTTACTTCTAGTGTTTGAGCAGGCCTCCTTAGCAACTATCCTTTCATGTTATCACATTGTTTCTAACAGTGGCTTTACTTGCCTGGTCATCATACAAGGGACATGCTAGTCCTTCCTTCTTCTCAAGACATAGACTATCGTGCAGCCTGTTTCTGCCACCGTAAACTTGTTGACATTGGATTTGTGTGCTCAGTTTGTTTATCAAGTAAGAAATACGACTATGTTTTATTTTGCGACGAGCAAATCTTGAAAACTGCCCTTTTTGTTTTTAGTATACTGCCATTTCCGTCCACGATGTATGACTTGTCAGTAAGTACACACTTTACATTAGAATCAATACTCATCAAAATATGATGCAAAAACAAATACATTAAAAAATTGCCATTGTTAAATTTAATTGTTGCACAACAAATCCAGACAAAAGATGTTGTGTGCAATTGGCAATAGATTGCAGTTAATCATCCAAAGAGCTTTGTTCTTACCGGTATAAAACTAAATGAATGCTTCCAGTTTTGAGGTGTAAGGGGGTTTTGGGTGCTAATCGTCCTTCGTGGTGCCCAGCACAGCTGGGTGCCAAATTGCGAAAGATGCAGCTCGATGCACTCTCAAGTCGAAGTGCTATTTTACAGACACATATCAGAGCTATTGGGTCCATGTAATTGGATCTCCACATACTTGTCTTAACTTTCAATATAAAATAAATTTTTCTACTAAATTTAGATGGTATCACAAGACAATTTTTTGGTCATTTGAATTTTTCAACTGTTTTCCTAAATTTGCAGGACTCTTTTCAAACTACCATCACTCCCCTTATCAAGACAAAAGAAGAAGAAAAAATGAATATTTTACATTAGGAAATTGTCTTTATTACATTATTTGTACATGTGCTTAGTAGTATAAAGATATATTTGATTGTCTCAAAAAACGTCTTTTGTACATAACTATTTTGATCTATATGGTACTTTTGTATTATTTAATTTAATGTACATGCATTTAATATAATGTGAAAACTAGTTTTGAACATAAATATGCTATAAACTAGATTATAACATTATTGTAAATAAACAAAACAAAGTAGTCAATTAAAAAGAAATTTGCAATAAACTATTTGCCACCTGCTAAACAGCAAAGAGTACTTTGGATTGTGTATGTTGTTGTTTTTTAAATGTAGCTTTGTTTCTTTGCTGTTATTGTTGTTGTTGTTATTTTCTTGTTATTTTTTTACACTCCCTAAATGAGACTTGATGATGACAGTTTCAAATACAAGGTTTTGAGTTTAAATTGTTGGTGTTTTCTATGAACTGTCAATTTCTTGAAACAGTGCCAGTGCAGAGTTTGATTCTAATTCCTTCTGTATTTCTTCCATATCGACGGGTAATATTTCTTGTCCAGCCAGCCAATCAGATAGTAGGGATGCTGATAAACAGGGACTACTAAGAAGGTTGCTGTTGCTAGTAGGAATCGATGGACTCAGCCTTGAAAAAAAAATTAACAATCTTAATATTTATTTTCTTGTATCTTGGAGCTTGTTTATTTTTTTCAAGAGTAAACCAGAAAGAGAGGATTGTGATTTGTCAAGGGGAATCTATGATCAGGGACTATCAGGGAAGGCTGGAATATGAAGATGGAAGTCTAAAGCTGGTAGTTTGATGACCAAAACGTTTGCTTTGAGTCAATTAAAAAAAAGTAGCAAATTTGTACTTTTCATACATTGTACATGTAGGGAAAGGTACGATGCAGCCTCCATAATGACTGTTATTTAAAAAAAATAACAATCATGTCATTATTTCATTGATGTTGATTGTGTGAAAGCAAAGCAAAAAACTATTTCCTCCAAAGATACTTACAGGTTGAGTTCAGCTCCTGAATTGGCAAACAATTCTTCAATGTCAATTCCTAATCCATAGCCACTTCCAGCACCTTTAGCTTTTGCTGACAGGCAATTACTATATATAACTTCCTCTACGGTCTTTTCTTGTGTGGTGGTATCATCCATGAAGCTTTCATTTTGCCAAGAACTGTCATCGGAAGTGTCTTGCTCACCAACCGCCGATAGAAGTCTTTGTAATTGACTTTGACCACTAAGAAGGTTACTTTCTCCAGCAAGGAACTGCAGAAACTGTTGTTGCTCTGTAGTAAGTGTAGCAGGGGAAATGTTTTCCAGTGGTTGTGATTGCTGGTTTGATGTAGAGTTTTGTGTGCTTGAAGTTGCGAACATGAGGTTAGGATCTGGATTGCTCAGAAAGGTTGTGGAGTATGAACTTGACTGATTGCTGGATCCATTCAGAACATTGTTCAGTATATTCCAAGAGCTAGTTAACGTTTGAGGCTGAGTCACTGCAATCTCGAGTGTAGAATTTCCAACTAAAACATTTTGTTGTGTAATGGCTTCTTGCTCTCTCGATGTTGAAACTGTAAGACCACAAGACGTTTCCTTGGTATTAAGTCTGTTTGAACTGCTGGACACATTGGCTGCAGCACAGCTGACTTGACTTGACGTGTAGCTTTGAACAGAGGAAATAGCTGTGGATGCAGTAGAGATTCTTCCAGTGGGTATGACTTGTGTAGACAATTGGGTATGACTTTGTGTAGGTCTGACAATTCCAGAATTAGGAATTGCATTAGTTATGCATGTAGGGCCCTCACTTGAAACAAAAGTGGATGTTGTAGGAATGTTAGTGAGTGGAACTGGAAGTGAGAGAATATTTGAAGGTACTGTGGTTGCTAATGTCTCTGGTACTGAAGGAAGGACAGAAGTTGTACTTATATTTCCAACAGAAGTAATTGAGCTTAGTGGAACCAAATTTTGCTGAGTTGATACTGTAGTTTTTGAAGTTCTTGAACAAGGCATATATGTAGTGACTACTCCCATKGAAACAGTTGGTGTGGTTACTTGTACATTATTACTTGGTAATGTTTGTTGACTTGGTATAACTTTTTGCACTGTGTTGAGAATGTTTGGTTTGTTTGATAAAGTTATAAGTTGAAATGCTCCACCACTTGTGGCTTCATTGCCTGCATTGCCTGCCTTGGAAACTGCTGCTGGTACAAGAGACACGGGTGAATTGAAGACTTGAAGAGTTGGGGTTGAATTTAAAGGTGCTATAGCATATTGCAATGATTGTGGATGGATGGGTTGATGAGCCTTTGTTGGGGCAGCATTAATAGCTTTTGGTAATGCAATCTTGCCTGGCAGCACTTGGGCAATTGCTGGGGCAACTGCATGAACGACTGGGAAAGAAGGCATTTGAAGATAACTAGATTGCATTGTGTTTCCATTGGTTGTAATACTTGGCTTGCTCAGAGAAGCTGTACTTGCTTGTGGAATGGATGTTGCCATGGCAGCAGTTGTTGTATTTGCAAGTGTTGTTGATGTAATTTGCTTCAAATTAGGAAGAATGTTCAAAGGGACCTTATCACATAGCAATGGAGCCTTTAAAGTTGAAAGAGGATTACATGGCTTTGTTATGTTTGAGGCAGGAATGGCTGTAGCTGTATTCTCTTTACCTTGAATTTCTAAGAGACAAAAAAAATATTTAAAACCTACAACCACAGAGAAAATAAACCTCTTCTCTATTATACCTCAGTAATATAGCACCGAAAACCTGCTTTTTGATAATAAGTACAGCAGATCTATTGTTAGGCTAGGTTTTGTTTTATTGTTTGAAGACTTATCTATTGTTTGTCCATTGTTTACTCAATCATGAGACCTGTTCCGACTGGTGCTGATGGCCCTTAATATACCTTGACAAACTGCTTCACACATATATTGGGGAAAACAATGATCTACTGTAATTTTCACGTTAGAATCAATAACTGTTGTACTTACCACTAACAAGAGATTGTGTTGTACTTTGTTGTATCAAAAGATTTGGAGCAACTGTGAATGGTACTTTGACTGCTTTTAGAGTAGCAACATTGCCATTGCAATCCTGTGGAACAAATTGCGTAAACTGAAACTGCTGTATTGGTTGGGAAGCACCAGGTGTAGGCATTACAGTTTCTGTTTGATTTCCTAGTTCAATTGCTTCCTCTTTCAATGCATTTAGTTCCTCCATGTACTTGCGAATTGGATGAATGAAGGGTTTAGTCTTTTTTCTCATGTTTTCCCATCTTTCAAGGAGTTTTTTGTCTGTTTCACTCAAACCAGACTCATCTTTATTTTGATCATTATTCTCTTTAGATTGTTTCTTTTGTCTTGGTTTCTTGTTCCCCTTTTGGTGGCCTTTGTCATTTTTTCTCTTTAAATTTTGTGTTCCCTTCTGTTGTATTGCAGCAAGAGTCAGAGCTGAAACACCTGTAATTAAGTAAAAAGAAAAGATATTAATATATTTTCACTTGAATATTTCAAGACTGAAAATAGCATTTCAAATCACATTTCTCAAAGGGAACTCCAAAAAAAAAATTGGAATCACAACAAAGAAAGCTGAAGCAAAGGGACAATAATAATGAACGCAACTTGGAGCAGATGTACTTCCAGTTTACACAGTGATTCACACATTCATTATTTTTATCCAAATAAAATAAGAAAGATATATCGCCCCACCTTTATTTTCTGCTGTACTTTCGTTTGCAGTATTAACAGTTGATAAGACAGGAGAGAGCATCAACATTTTCTTCCTCTGAAAGTCCTCTATTTCCATTTTAATAGCATCCTTGAGAGCCTCTTTGGTCATAAGTACATTATCAAAATCAAAGTCTAATTCTTTGTAGCATGCTGGTTCGTCATCGACATTATGATAATCCTTTAAAAACTGGTGCTTCAAAGCATCTTCAACTGATATTCTTTGTTTAGGATCCAGTTGTAGCATTTTGCTTAATAAATCCACAGCATCTGGATGAGCATTAGGGAAAATCTTCGTAAAAGGTACCGGTTCTTTGCTTGGTAAACGGTGAAGGTATGTCTTGACTCTTTCTGCTCCCATTCTTTGGATAAAACTTTCTGATGGTGTGCCAGTGACACTGAGAATGAGCTAATCATGAAAATAAAGACATTTAAATTAACCTGAAATTTAATCAACAAGCTCAGAGTACATTACACAAGTACGGTAAAAAAATTCCTTTTTCTTTCTAATTGGACTTTTTCATTTGATTATCTTTGGTCAATTTTCTTTGATCTTCTATGCAAATTTGTTCTTTTCTCACAGTTTCATTCTTCCATTTTTTCTTTTACTTGCTAATCTTTAGCTCAATGTTATCTTGATTGCCAATCCTAACTTTCTTTTGTCTCAGCTATTCTTTCTTTAATCCCATTTATTCTCTCTTTCCATCTTTTGCCTCACTTTTAAACTGTTTTCTCGGCTATATAAAAAATTTTCAAAGCCCTTAAAAAATGTCACGCAAACCATGACATTCGATTTTGCCATTCGCATGTAAACAATTGTGACAGCAAGCTTCTGACATTACATTACCTGAAGTTGGTTCAAGTAGTTCGCTCCAGGAAAAAGATGTTTTCTTCCCAGCATCTCAGCAAGAATACATCCAACCGACCACATATCTATACTTTCTGAATACTCATTTAACGAAAGCATCAGCTCCGGCGCTCTGTACCATCTAGTAGCCACATATTCCGTCATGACTCGCTTCTGTTCGACTGGGGAGGAGCACAGCCCTCGTGCCATCCCAAAATCGCCGATTCTTAGCTCAGCATTTTCGTTCACGAGTAAGTTACTAGGCTTTAGGTCTCTGTGTAGAACCTTTGCTGAATGAATGTACTTCAAACCACGTAAAATTTGGTAAAGGAAATATCGAACGTGTTCGTCAGTAAGCGGTTGATTTGAGTGAATAATTCGATGTAGATCCGCTTCCATCAAGTCAAACACAACATATACATCCTCAAATTCATCTGAGTTTTCTGGAGGCTTCATGATGTCTCGAATACAAATAATATTATCGTGTTTAAAGTGCCGTAATATCTTAAGTTCTCTATAAGTCCTTTTCGCTACTGTGAGCACATCGAAAGTTCTAGGAATCTTTTTAACAGCAACTTTTGCACCAGTTTTGGTGTCCAAAGCCGAGCAGACGACCCCATATGCACCATTGCCAATGCTCTCAATAAGCTTATATCGAGCGTCTATTTCAAATTTTATCTCTATTTCTTTGTCTTTGATTGTATAAGTTCGCGTAGCCATCGTTAGCTTGTAGAATTCCGATAACGGTGTTGGTCAAATACCCAATACAAAACTGATTCCATTCTCAAGTTCGCAAATCTTTTGGTGCAGATTTGGCCTGAATGGTAACTCCGCTGACCAGTCTCTTTTTATATTTCGATTTTGGCTGTTCTAAATATAGTAACTAACGGCATCAAAGACGACCAATCACATTGCTTTTACAGTTACGGATGACAACAAACAACAAGGGAAAACCCCTAAAACGGGAACAACAACTTTTTGAAGTCATGATAAATACTTCCTACAATTCAGTCTAAGTATGTGTTATAAGAAAATAATTCTAAAATGCAATAATTTTCTTAATTTTTACTTTGATTTCTACTGAAAGACAGCTTAGGTCTTGGAAACTTACAAACAGGAAGTTGCATCTTTTTAAGGAAAGGGAAATATTGAGTGTTGCAGTGATGTATAAAAAAGTAATATGATACAAGGCCTCATGATAAAAATATTATTGACCTTTCTTCATTCTTCTCAAAATTACATTGTAGGAAACAATTCCACTACTAGTATTGCATTATGTCTTTATATGTTGTTGTTTTGTCTTTTTTTATGTTTTTATGTAATCAATCACATAATGGATGTACAGTTGTAAAATGGCATAAAGATTTAACTTAATTAGCTTAATAACTTAATAATTTATATGCATATTAGAAAAATTTCAATGAAAATTTCAGATAGCATGTAATACCTGTAGTTTCATGTTAAAATCACTAATAGGGGTATAATTTCCAAAAAGGCTTTGTTATTGTCTTAGTGTTTTTTACAACTGTTTACTGTTGATTGACTACATATACATTATGCTGTTATTATTTAATTATATGTCAAATATAAGATTTTTTATTAGAGTAGAGAGACTTCATTGATTTGAAAAACTTAAGAACTTCATACAGAATCTTTGTGATACATGTTAACTTCCTCTTGTTTTTTTTTTCAAATTTTCCTTTCCTTTCATTTCCTTCTTTCTTTTCCTTATATTTTTTTAACATGAAAAAAGCCAACATAGAACAGGATTTCTAGTCTCTGAGGATGTATTTTATTCTATCCTGTATGAGAAATACACAACAGGAGCAGATCCGAGGGAGGTGCCAAGGGGCTGGTGCCTCCCCTCAAACTTTCTGTATCATTCCCTGCACTGATTTGTTAGATCATTCATGATTGGTCTCCACAACACTTTGATTTATATTATAGCAGCCAAACACAGCATTTGATTTAATTATTTCATTTATTAAAAATCAAAATATACTAAATATTTAATCAATAATATTACCATCATTCCTTTTTGGACTTTTTCGTAGTAGTGGACTGTCCAAAAGAGATTATATTCAATACAAGTAATAAAGCATTAACAACATAAGTTGATAGACAGACTAAACATACATCGTGTAGCACAAAATACAGAATATATCCTAAATATAATGAACCAAAGCATGATGCAATAGAAAAAGCAAGATTAAGGAAGGCTGCAAACTTGCTGCTGGAAAAACCTGTAAAATAGAGCAATTACGGATGAGGCCAGGTAACCCTATTGGGTCGGTACAATCTTGATTGAGTGCAAACTGCTGAGCACAACAATATTTCTAGGTATGATTTAAAAAAAGGTATATATGTGGCATGATTGCATTTCAAACCCTTGAGTGCCTTGTGGTGTCTTTCAAAAATAATAGGGTAAAATAATCTTTCCATTTTTTTAAAAATAATAACATTAAAAAAAAATCAAAACAATAACATACCAATTAAACAAACAAGTGTATAGAATAAAATTCCAAAAATGCTGTTGGGGACGTTGAGTTGAGAATTCTTGCCCAACACAGGTTCAACCAATCCAAATCCTGTGCCATACCTGGGATATGGAACGAAAGAATCGACCAATGAGCATTCGACAAATCAATGGAAATATTGTGTTTATAAAGTCAATTGTAACAAGTAGCTTACTTTGATGCGAAGACTTTTGAACAACTCATATGCTCGTTGATGTCACACAACGCTTTAAAATCCTTGTTTTTCACTTTCGATGTCTCAACGTGAAGTGCATAAATAGATAGTCCAAGTCCTGTTATACAAAGAAGCACCCGCAACCACACAACGGCTCCCATTCTGCGGATCAAACAAACAAATCAACTCAAGCAAATCAGATCTTCCACACAAACAATTTTGTACTTTGACTTGCTGGTTTATTTTACATATATGAACATTTTGTAATTTCAGTTACCTTTGGAAGAATATTATATGGAGATCTTTGTAAAACTGATAGTTTTTGCTCGGCCGGCCTGCTATCGCCTGCGATCAGCTGAACAACAAAAAATTTCCTTTTTAGGGGGACTGTGAACGAATACCCATAACTCCATGCTCCAAAGGGTTTCTGGGAAACAAAAATGGCGGTTTGTGGCGGGAAGATGACTGTCGGTTTGTAAATCGTGAAATAAGCCTGCAGAAAGAGTGAAAAGCTGTAAAAATGGCCTCAAAAGCCGTAACCAAAACGAAAAATAGCAAGAAGCAGGAGATCGGTAAAAAGCGAAAGCTGACAACCCCAGAACCCGATGATTTTGATCTTTTTGCCTATAAAAATCAAATGCCAGTGACGTTTGGATATTCAACGAAAAACACAAAAATAATGGTTCCCATAGATAGTTCAGATGAAGAAGAGGAAGAATTGGATGTCGATGCATCAGAATTTGCAAGAATTAGTAGCGAAGATGAAGAAGATGAGAATGAAGATGACAGCCAAGAACTTTTGCATATGTAAGCTATAACTTTACGTCAATTCCCATTTTCAAAAGGGTATTAACCTAAATACACCTTTTCTTTGAGCGAACTGCTCTTTAATGACCAAGCAACTGTACATAAAAGGAAATCCCAGAGAGAGAAAGTGCAAATTAATTGAAGTTGAAGTTGGTATCGAACATTTACCTTTGCACCTTGCCAATATATGATAAGCTTAATATTTAGTCTGAACAAGTTCATTCATAACCCAACCAACCAATTTTTTGATTTCTGTAACCTCACAAGGTTCAAAAGGTTTCATTCACTGCTGAAGTATAATATTCATATAGATATTATTAACGTTTCATTCATTTAGAACTGACAGTGAAGAAAGTGTTGTGGAGACCAATAATAAGAGTACAACATGTAGACCAGCAAGATCACCTTCACCTCCTCCCCCACCATCTCAAGCTGATATGCTGAGAGTACAGAGACAACTCAGAGCAAAAAACAAGAAAGCAAGGTAGAATTCTATTTCCCAATTGTACAGAAACCAAATTACTTATATAAGATGCATTTTGTAATAGTCTATGGTCTTGCAGCAACACGATGTAGATTTTATTTTATTATTGGAAATGCTGGTATTTTTTTCCCCTTGTTTCCAGAGGTTTCTTATTTTCAAGACATTTTTCTTTTAAAATTTTTCCAAATTTTGGCTTTACTTTTACATTTTTATGATGTGTCAGTAGTTATATTATTCAATTTGTACCTTTTTTTATTGAAGTCAAAAAATTTTTTCGTGCTTTTGACATCAGATTATTAGTCGGGCGCAGGCCTTAGGCCTGGGCACGACTTTAGTTATACCTTCTGTTCAATCTATCTATCTATCAACGTCGCGTATAGTCCCCCATGATGCTTTATGAGCTATACCACAGGCACCCMAATTACAATCAATTACGTCATAAATATATCATGTGACACAAAAGTCACATTTATAGATGCTTTTCTGTTTCTATCACATGGTCAATCGAAGTACGAGGGAAAGGCTGTGTCTACGTCGAGTGTTCGCAAAATTGTACGAAGTATTTCTTGTTTTGTAAACTATATGCCCTCTTGACCTCAGAGGTCATTTTTTAATTAAAAACCTGAAACTTTACACCAAGATATCTGATAATCAAATGCATTGCGCTATATCGTCTTTAGTTGCATTAGTAATGATAGGATATGAGTTTTAAGAGCATTTCTAAAATATTTAGGATACTACGCGCGCTGTGATTGGCCGAAAACCATGTTTGATTACAGTATCAAAACACGCTCGCATGCGTCAAAAATTTCTTTTTTCCCGTCGTTTGCATTTGTTGTTGTTATCATTCATTTTCAAGAACAATGAACGAAGAAATGCCTATTTATGATGTCCTATGGGATGATATCCCAGAAGAAGAGCTATCAAACGTTTTAGAAGCTACAGAAGCTGCAGAAGCTACTTTTAGATTTGCAGAGATAGACGACAGCCACATAGACAAAATTCTTGACAACTCAGTAAAAAAAACACAAAGTCAGAATTCTTTTAATTTTAGAAAAGAAATAAAAGACGAGCTACGCGTCGTGGTTTCCTATGCTTCTCTCGTGCTCTCCCTACATCCCGCGTGTTTTGATCAGAGTATCAAACACGGAATTTCGTCTTTTATTCCTTAATTAAAGCATTTATTTTGAATTTTTTTGAAAGAGTTGCCTTTTGGAGATTCCAATAAATAGTATAAGCTGGTTAATAGGGTTCTTTCCTTTAAACATTGCATCAAAAATTGTTAAAACATAAAGTGTTGTTTATATGACCTTTTTAAATCACACGAAATTTGCATATTTTGAATGAGCTACACGCTTTTACAGCGTGAAGTCTCATTTTTTTGCGGTGTAAAAAATTATCATTTCATCATGATGTACAATATTATGATATCACCCTTGCTAGCCCGACTTCACGCTACGTTAGCGTCTAGTTAGTATTAAAACAGTAATTTCTTTATTTATCCATATTCACATGAAAATCTCCTTTTTTCATTTCTGCTATTATCATCTACCTGATTATGAATGTCATTGAATTGACTAAACCAGGGCTCGAAATAAGGGCCAGGCATATGCAGGACWAGATGTCCTTTGGAAGGTCATGYCAAGTTTTGAAAGGACAAAAACTTTATTATACTATTATTTCTTTTAATTTGTAGGTTTTTGTATTCAGAAAGATTGGCAAGCATTTTAATGGCTCGTAAAAGATTTATTTAGCGAATTGAGAATTGATTTGTCTAAAAATGTGGCAGGTCAATTTGTCCTTTCAAAACCCGATTTGGTCAGTCATCTAGAGAATTTGGAAGGACATTGTCCTTTGACCAGCCATTATTTCGAGCCCTGCTAAACTGTACTTTAATCTTTTCAGGGATTTTGATGCTGCATATAATATCCTACAACAAGCTGTTGCTGATTCAGTCTCCCCTCTCCCAACCAGTAGTAGTCGAACGGAGGTAATCAACCTGGACGATTCTGTCTCACCACTTATTGTAAGAAACAGAAATGACCGTAAGATGACAGTGAAAGTTAGAACGAGATCTGGAATCAAACGATTTGATATGAAAGCAGTAAGTGACCTTTTATTTTGTTTATTTTGTCATAGATGTAAGTTATGTTCTGTCAAAATATTCATACTTTTGCATAGATAACTGCCTAGAGTCATTTTCACCTTTCAATGAACATTACTAGTATTTAGTATTTCTTGGTAAAGAATAAAACAAAGCAATAAATTGAGAGTGTGATATCATGAACTATTAAAGTCACATTCATATTTCACAGTCAAATAAAAATGACTCTACAATTCTTTCTTTTCAAAGTAGTAGCTGTGTTGGTAACAAATATTTTACATTAGTGATGTAATCATTAATAGATTGCAAGCAATATACCTGTAAAATACTCCATAAAGTTACTTCTAAATGGTGTTAATTTGATGTATTGCTTTCTCTTTACAGGGTGACAAGTTTGAGACCATCATAAAAGAGCTTGCAGAAAGTGAAAAAGTTTCTCCTGAAAATATATTGTTATCATTAAGGAGCAGTAATATTATGATAGATGATACTCCTCTTTCCAAAGGTGTCTCAGTTGCAGATATAATTGGTAAAATGATTTGTATTCCTCTACCTTCGCCGTTCTTAGTTGTGTACTTTGGTTAGATGACTTCTAGGTTGTTTTGATTTGGGATGGCTTTTTAACGTTTAAAAACTTTTTAATGATGCTTGTTTCATTGATCTGGTGGGTACATGCGTACTAGTACACATACTTGATTGGTTCTATTGTTAATTAAATGGTTGATTGGTTGATTGATTGATTGGTCTGTTGGTTAACAGCTCTGTTGATTGTTTGATTTATATCTTAGTTGTTTAGTATGTTGGATAAGTCTGCTGGATTTCTTGCTTTTAATTAATGATTGACCTTGTGATTGATCTGTTGGTTGGTCATTTGATTGATTGATCAGTGCATTGGTTTGTAGTGCATTGGCTGATTGTTTGGTTGTTTGGTTTTTTGGCTGGCTAGTTGCCTGTTCCAGAGTAAAATTGAAAAAAAAACAAAAAACGAAAACGATACCCTGGTTGGCGGCACGTATATAATATAGGGGAGTACCCACCCGGGGCTAGTTGATGGATCTTTTGGTTGGTCAGTTAGTTAATTGTATAATTGGTATGTTAATTTGTCACTTGTATTGGTTGATTGGTTGGTTGTATTGTTGGTCTGTTAATTTTTCAGTTGTATTGGTTGGTTGGTTGGTTGGTTGTCTTGTTGGTCTGTTAATTTGTCAGTTGTATTTGTTGATTATATTTTTGGTCTGTATATTTGTCAGTTGTAATGGTTGATTGGTTGGTTGTATTGCTGGTCTGTTAATTTGTCTATTGTGTTGGTTGGTTGCATTGTTGGTCTGTTTATTTTCTAGTTGTATTAGTTTGTTAGTTTGTTTTTTTGATGGTTGGTCTGTTTGCTGATTGGTTAGTCAGTTTGATGGTTATCTAGTTGTAGTCACTGTACATTTTAATTTCCTTTGTAGAATGTATAATCATGGAATCAAGTCCTGTTGTTGAAGAGGAAAATTTGATTGAGATTAAAGTACAAGGAAATGATGCTGCATCAAGAAAAACATTTCATGTATCAAAGGTAAATAGCTAAAACAATCGAAAACTAAATTGTTTGAAATACAATGTACAGTCAATTGAAGAAATTCTGGCTGCTAACTTATGTAAAAACATAAAAATATCAATATATTCCCATAATTAGTTATAAAACTACAGATTATGCTTGAATAATCTTCAATAAACATAATTAAAGTATTCTTGGCGTGCAAGTTACATCAACACAGCCATGCTGGATTAAGATCACAAAGCATTGCTCATTTGTTTCTCTTGTTCATTCATCCAACATGGCGGCGATAGCTTCGTTCTTTATTTCTCTGGGGATTTTTGGTCATGTGGTTGCACACAAAGAATTTGAATTATTTGTGATCTGTTTTAACGACAAAAGAGCACAAATCACGTGAAATTACCCATGATAATGATACGTTTTCAGTTAGAATATTTGCAAATGACTTTATTAATATTAAAAACTTCTTTTTGCAGACAAAACCATTGGAAAGTTTATTTGCTGAATATGCTGAATTCAGAAAGATAAAAAGATCAAGTTTAAAATTCCTCTTTGATGACGATCCACTAGAAGGAACTGAAACACCTGAAGATCTGGACATGGAGGATGAAAACCTTATTGATGTGCGGGTTATTTCTTGAGATTTGTTATTTCAATGGTAGGAGTTGTTCTACAAAGAACAGAGGTCACATCATTTAATCAAAAAATTGTATATGTAATACTCATGAACTTCGGAAACACTGCATGCAATGACCAATTTTGTAAGACACTTGGTTGAATTAGGGATTTGAAGTCTGAAGAAACGTGATCACCCAAAGTATGTCTGAATGATGGCTCAGTACTAACGGTAAACTAGTCTGAGCTGTGTCAGTGTTTCTAAAGAAACAGTTGTGTAAAAAGATAAATTTAACACCATTAAAAAGTAGGTGTAACAATCTACCATAACTAACTATGCTCTGACGAAGGATTAACGTCCGGAACATCAGTAAGTTGTTTCACCTACTTTTTTACGGTGTTAAATTTATCTTTTTACATATAACTGTAAAATATGTCTGCTATGTTAGAGGTGTTTTAGAGATTAGAGGTGTTTTAGATTTCTTCTGAAAATAATACGAAAAACTGATATTTATTTGAACTAGAAGATAATTTGAAGAAAGGCTGACCAGCTCACAATTTCAAGTAAAGTTTACAGGTCATACTTTCATGAGATGGTTTGCAATCACTACAAACATTCAACACATTTTTAAAAGGCACTCCCATTTTGATTCAAACGACTGTAATTGTAATTCTTAGAGAATTATACTGTAAAAATATCAACAGTAATGCCGGGCTTTTCATCCTGTTTACACTTGCGATTTTTGCAGACCGATTCTCGCGGCGATCGTTGCACGACCATCGCCTGACTTTCAGACATGCTTGAAAATTGGCTGCAACTTCACGGCGATTTTCCGTCGTCGCAACAATCACAGGGCTGTTTACACGTACGATTTGAGTTACGCGATAGCAAAGTGGAAATTGTCGCGCTGCAAAAATCTCAAGTGTAAACGGGTCTTTAAAACAAACATTGCGCTGACAACTGTATTCAGTGTAGCTAGCTGTGCTGGTTTGAAGAATGCATGATATTTCATAAACGTACAAGCTAGTAATTATTTATGAATGATTATAACTTCCAGCCATTGTGAAAACTAGAGTGAACAGTCAAGTAGTAAAAAAAAAATAAAATTAATAGTCAAATACCGACATATCCTCTGGATGGATTTAGTATGGAAACACTACTTTGTACCATATTATGTAGATATTGAGATGTATACATTTATTATTAAAATTGCATTCTGAAGAAGCTAAAAAGCTGTTTTTTGGGGGGAGGGGGGACGGAGGGGACAAAGAGCAACTATGCCAACTTATCTGCTAACAAGTCGTATATGAATTTCGGAATCATTTTGTAAATCGCAAAAATAGTCTTGGCATCATTTCGGCGAAGCACAACAGTTCCAACCCACTAAGTAGTATATATTTCATAGGACCTGCCATCGTCAATAAATTAGGGATGCTGTTCTGACGGCCGTCTAATACTCGTGCATCAGACACTCGGCGTGGATACTTTGTTATCAAGTCATTTCACCAAGATGTTTAAAGAGCGTTCAAAAAAAGCTGGCTTTAACAGGTCCTTAGTCTCGTCCAGCGAGCCGTTATTCGGTCTCGGATGCACTCCCAACAAATGGCACATAAGAGGGTACAAATGAACGTTATCGAGCCCCTCTCTTGTGTACCCCTCGCGAAATGCTGGGCCACGCCCTATAAAAAGCCCGCCCATTGACTTGTGTTCTGTACTGAAACCATGGTTACCTTTGTAAAAGTATTTTTGATCGGTCTTAACGAGAGCCCAGCCTAAATCAGCTAAAACGAAGATCTTAGGCACTCGGCGATTGTGTTTTAAATGTAAGAAATCCGGGATATCCTTTTTCCGATAAACCTTTATATGAGGTATCTTCCTCTCTAATTGTTTAAATGCTCTATAAACTCTTTTCTTGTGCCCTTTTTTAGGAGAAATCATTAAATTTGTCGACGAGTCCCAAATGTCAAAGGTATTGAGGTCTACGTATTCGTCAAAGAAGATTCTCCTAAATGGAGACATCTCGGTCATTCCGTGATCTGAAGTGATTATAATGTTAACACTATCGAGCATGGAATTCTCACGAAAACGATCCAGGATCAATCCTATGGTGTCATCTAGTTTTTCTATTTTCTTTTTGATCTCTGGTGAATTTGGTCCATAGAGATGCCCCGTATCGTCAGGTTCCTCGAAGTACAACGCTACAAAGTTAGGAGGGTTTTCACACGTAAACCACTCCATCAATCTATCTATCCTCTCTTGATAATTGATGACTCCCCCTGATTCGTTCCTCAAGTCGATATTATAAGATGGTGAATCGACTTTAAGGTCGGCATATTCACCATTAAACGGGACGTTATATCCAGGCCAATGAATGACACCACTTCTTCCACCTTGATTTTGATTGGTTATCCACAAAGGCACTGCATTGTGCCACCATTCAGGATCAGTATTATAAATATCGAATCTCTTTCTGAGCTTTGGATCATACATGTAGTTACCTATGATACCATGACTCTCTGGATATAGCCCCGTTACCATAGTGATATGATTAGGATACGTGGTTGTCGGGAAAGCACTTCGTAAAAACTCCGCTTTGACGCCTGTGTTTACTATGTAATCTAGATTTGGTGTGCTGGTTTTGCTCATGTAGTCCCAGCGAAAACCATCAAGAGAGATTAACAAAACTTGCTGCTTTCGTTTTACACTAGAGTGAACAAAACAGAGAAAGAAACAGAACTGAATATTTCGCAGAGAGAAACATGATCTCAGACGCAACATAATTAACGCAAATAAAAAACCGTTTCTGATGAGTGATTTTTGAACCAAGACTGGCACCTGTTCATAGGTGAAAAAGATTGCAGGTTCTTGAAAACTTTTATAAAATATTAATAGCTTATTAGCTTGCTGCAATGAAACGGTCTGTCACCGCTATCGTCCCGCCAGATCCCATTACGGGCCTGATTTAAGAAATCGTTGGGTTGGCCTAATTAACGCACATTGGTTTCTCTTGTTTTCAGTTCCCAACGGAAAGAGAAACAGAAAAAAAATTACTAGAACTGGAGAAATTCACTGAATCTTATGGTTCAAAGATAAAAAAGAACGATAGATGTGTGGACACATTGGGATTGATTTTTTCACTTCCGTCTATTGTCCTTTTATTTGTTTGCTTTTATTGGGTTTTCAGGAGTCCTTAGATATCCTCTGTATCTCAAAAAGGGGATGAGGGGAGGGGGAAGGGGCCTACCTGCCATTCATCCGACATTAAAGAAGGCACACGGCCCCTAAACACACTCTTCACCGTTTAATGGGCAGATCTTTAATCAATTCCCGGAGCTGAGCCATGTTGTTAGCGAGAACAGTAAATATCAACAATACTTTGCGGTCAGCTACCAACATGGCCGCCGTGATGTCACCTCAAGACAAGCAATTCAGCCTTTTATACGCATGCTCTTTACTGCGGCAACTGAATATTCCACATGACGACCTTTTATACTTCTACTAGCATAATACTTTTTAGACATAAAACCTAAAACCATAGTAACACAGAAAACCGTTTACTAATGTTTTAGTCGATTTGGTAGTGAAAATACAACGCATCATAAATAATCAAAAACAAAGACACTTGTTCTAATTCTCCATTTTAATCTTCTTAAAATATCGAATATAACCTTAATAACGGTTATTGATTGATTGTTCTTTTTAATATGCTCTGTTCTATATGAAATAGTCCATAATTACACGATAAATTGTATTAATAATGTAAGACCTATTACAGAATAAGTAAAAATACAAAGAATTAACTTAATTTGCGACCAAAAAGAAAAAGAAAAATACGTGTGCGTGCAAAATATAAAAACAGCGAATGTTGCTTAATTTATGTCTATTTAGACGATATTATGACTTAGGTACTATTTATTAATATTTAATATTAATTATTATTTATTAAATTTAGCTGTGCACGTGTCTTGCAAATGTTGGCAAACCTGTGCCAAGTGGCTAACCATTGTTCTTCTGGTAAGATAGGTTAATACTGGGTTTCTCCACGAAACCGCATACTTTAATCATAGTACTTATGACAAGGAGTATCATCCACAAAGTATATACCCGATGGACAGAGCACTCAGATCGAAACACCAACGCCAAACAAACCATTTTGCAAGACAACGGCGACAGTTTGGAATACTAGAAGTATAAAGTAAACAAAACAAAATAGGAAGAAATTGTGCACAACTTCTGCTGGTACAGATGCAACAAGTTATAGCAATCACAGTACTCACCACAGTACTGTGGACTATAGACAATACAGCTATCAAAATAAGGGAAAGGGAAACTCCGGACAAGAATACTCTGCTATTCAACTCAAACAAGTATCCTAACTTGCATTCATCTTTTTCTGACCAACAGAACGCGTGCCTTTTTAACTGTTTTAGTCTAAAAAGATTTATCTAAATACGAACATGCAGCTTATCATTCCGGGCAGCTCTCAAGGCCATGTAAAAAGTGATGTTACTTTATTTGTATCTTACCCTCTATATTACGAACAGCTATAGCGTGGACACTTTTTCAATCTCTCAAAGGTCAGTCGATCGTATTATAGAGGGCTGAGACGAAGCGTTCGGTTCGTATTAGAGGAATTTCAAGCTCGCTTTTGAGCTTACGAGAAATACTAAATTTTCATGTTTCTAAGACGACAGTAACAGTTACATTAATAATAATAATATAATAATGTAAGATTAATTCAACGAATTATGGATATAAAAAATAGATCATTTGACTATAAGCCCATGTACATGTTTAAATCACTCTGCGATGTTTTGCTTTTTAAGCTTAGATGACTGAATGTAGATTCACGGGTCTAAGGATCGATTTGGAATCAAATATACGACGTTCTTTACAAGAAAAAGGTGCATTTGTGCAAAAAATAAAGTGAAAAAAATTAAATTTTTAGATAATAAATCTCAAATCTTGAAATCTCAAGAAAAAAAACTTAAAGTAGAAAATATAAATATAGGTAACTTAGGAAGTTTTTAAACAAAAGGCAAGAAACGTTCAAGAACCAATCAGCGGTTTTGTTACCACATGACATCAATCACGTGTCTTGTTTCATCATGCTGTGTGATTTTGCTACAGTGTTGCAAACGCCTTTGTTTGTGACACCGAAATTGTTCCTTAGTCAAAACCGCGACTACATAATCATATATTTTGCAAATGTGAAGTAGAAGGATTTGCCAAAATACTGGATGGCTTTTGAAAACCTATCTGCCTTGACGGGGAAATATTTCATGTTTTGTAATGTATGGTAAGATGAATAAACAGCTCTTGAACAGAACTTAACCTTATAATTTCGATAATGTACGTGGCTTAAACTTAGAAATAAATCCATATTTATAATAACGATAATATTAGAAACACATCTTGAATAATAAAATTTAGAAAGAATGCGATAGCAAATTATTATTATTTTTTTATAATATAGTTCAATGATGACTCACTTAAGTCAAGATAATCTAAGCATGCAAAAACACGTGAACCTAAGGGATAACAACCTCAATGATCACTAATAATATCTAACATTAGCATTGGATTTGGACAAGCTTAACATTAGAGCTGTTTAATGGAAGAGCTGCAAGTCTTGTTCACAGCCATTTTTACCTCGTTCATATTTCTATAAGGCGAATTCACTTATTTGATTTCTTTTATGGGACTGAGTTTATTTCTCTGCTAACAGGGTCTCTCACTGTAGTACAGCGAGAGAGATTTTGGCAGCTGGTAGCAGGAAGGACGTTTTGTGTTGTAAATTTAAAAATCTAGGACTGTTCTCATTCTCTGAGGCCAATGAAAAGTGAGTGCATAGCACTGAGGCAAGATTATAATTGGCTGAGAAAGACTAAATCTCTTTTAGCTCTGTTGGCTGCACGAATCCGTTTTCAAATCGTATTTGTATTTGGTCCTTAAAAAGAGAAGGAAGTACAATTTGATATCGACGTTGAAAACGAATAAGTGCAAAAAATGACATCCTGTTTACTAGGTTACTTTTGTTACAATGGTAACATGCTTATAAGACTTATACAATCTCTCTTCTTTTCTTCTCACAATAGTTGTATAATAACTAATAATAATGATAATTTTGATAAAGCACATTTCTGAAAGCATCAAGAGTTACTGAGTACAAATTTCAAGGGAAAGATGCCTATTTCTTCGAGTGATTTTTTGAATATAAGTGCCAATTTTGGAATAAATAACTTGAACGAATGTGATGGTGATGAATTGGAACCCAGTGACTTTAAAGATGCTTTCAATGCTGTCATAACGAGCGACTGGACGAACATTGATATACCATAATATGTACATATGTATTTTATGCTACAAGTTCTACGAAAACGTGCATCGTCAAAAAGAAATTTATATTAAAACTCTGCAAAACATGACAAAATAAGATATTGTTCTGGGAATGTATGATTTATGTGAAAAAAGCTCTAATTTATCGTACAGAAATAATAGCACGCAATTTTAGCTCAACGAAAACTGCTCAAAATCTCGCAGATTCTTAATTCTAATTTTATTTAGTTTTAATCTACGAGCAAGGACAACATTTCGCATTAAATTTGACTTTGTATTATCAAATAAACTGAATATGTTCCGGTAAGAACTAAAGACAAGCGAATCATGCTATTCATTTAAGTTCTTAAGTTGGATCGTTTGAACGGTAAATTGACGACTGGGAGGCTAATTTAGAATACTACAATACGACCTAAAAATACAGCGAGCTCCCTCTTCAAAAACAAGAAATGACTCTGTTCAAAATATATCCAATAGTGACGGCAAATCAATCCCATCAGTTACTGCTACATGTACTGAAACCCATGTTTCCTTGCCGAAAAGGATTACGGATAGATTTTTGGCCGCCATCTTGTTTTTGTTTTTTTTGAGTAAGTTCACTAACATCGATAAATCTCATTTGTTCATCTTGAGCGCAAGGAAGGAAAGCAATATAATAATTTGTATTTTGTATTTTTTGACTATTTTAAAACTATAAACTATAATTTGTAATTAATGCGGAATACCCGCCTATATTGATACATTGAATATAAATTTTTGATTGTTTCAACTCCTCTTTTTCGAGGTTTTACGTTGTAATTCTCATATAAAGATTATTTATTCATCGAGTTCAGTCGGTATTGATGATCCAATCTCCTTACGGAGTATAGCAAAACGATTAAGTAAAGAATTGTGGCAGATTTTTGTCGCTGAATCTAGGTAACCAGACCTTAAAAGTGATGTTTACTCACGAGCGATCAAAGAGCGTTTACTACCCGACCTACTATCGACATTTATTCTAAAAACTATAATTACCAATTGATGAAAAAACAATTATTTTGTCTTRTTTGCTTGACGCCTTGGGTATCATTGCTTATTATTTTATTCTAAAACTACATTCTCTATCCCCCGTTTTYCAATTCACCGAATTTTTGTTGATCGAATAGCATTCACGTGATGAACGATGTAGTGTAACGAAGCTTTGAGCAAAACACACTTCGACAGAACTAAAATTAGCGGTTTTGAAGTAGCCATACGCTAGCTGTCATTTCGCTTTGGAAGCAGTCTGCGTGAAGGATATCCTTGAAGAAGYTACGAATGATAATGCGAGATTATTTTCAGACCAACTTACGGACGTTTGTCAAGGACTTTGAGTGTGTTGTTCAGGGGGACTTCGTTGTTGATGTTGCTCCATATCACCGTTCATATCCATAATTCCATTAGTAAGAACACCATTTGGACTGCCATTRGAACTGTGGACGTGCATCGGGGAACCAATGGGACCTAAAGGATTTGCCCCTAGGCTYGTAGCGGCGACCGCTGCTGCAGCTACCGCAGGCGCGACTGTAGGCGCCGTTGGAGATATTGAGGAGCTTGGAGAGAAGGCTAGTTTTAATGTAAATGAACCACCGCCTAAGTAAGAAAAACAAATATAAAGTGTTTATTCAAAGTTTTATGTCAATTGGTATCTGTACAATAGATATCATGGTTGTCATGGTGATGTCATGACTTCAGTTGTCATAGTTACCTGGTGAGTTGATTGTGTAATGGTTTGTAAGGATCARAGCCTCCATAGCTGAACGAATGTCCGCCATTTCTAAAAGCCCAGCGGATGACTTCGTATTTGCTGAAAATGAATTGAAAAAAAAAGATAAAGACCTTGACTATACTACATCACTAACAAGGCTCGTAGCGTCTTACCTTTCGAGAAAAAAGTCCCCTTTAAGGGAGCTAATGATCCGGCTTTCACGAATACCTACAACATCAAGATGTGAGAAAYATTACTGCAGACGTACGTTTGCCTAGCTTTCTCCTATCCTTTGCTCGCTTGTCGCAGTCTTGCTATCTGATATCACTGTCGCTATCTACAATTAAAKAGGATCTTTGTTGCTGCTGTCTATCTGGTGTCTTGCTTATAGTCTGGATTTGTTCAGCGTTCATACTGCTTTGCTTTCGAATGGTCTTTCTGTACTATGTTTGTCTGTCAAGCGGTGTGCACACAAATGGTTTCCCTCAGAATGAGCCAGCGGCTCAAAAATTGCTCGAAAAACGTAGCAAGACGGACCTTTTCAACCAATTTAAGTGCAGACCGGACCTTTGGTGTTCAGACTGTTAAACTGTCTGTCTGCCACTAAAACAGTTATTGGTAACGACCAATAAAACTTACGTCTCTTAAGTGATCTACAGTGCAATTAGGCGGAGCGTTGAAGAAATGAAGCATTCTTGTGGGTGGCTGGTATCCTAGCAACATGTTAAGGAATCACGTGATCATAAAGTGCGCTACCCTGGTTCACGCTATGGTACGACCAATAAAACTTACGTCTCTTAAGTGATCTACAGTGCAATTAGGCGGAGCGTTGAAGAAATGAAGCATTCTTGTGGGTGGCTGGTATCCTAGCAACATGTTAAGGAATCACGTGATCATAAAGTGCGYCATTTGACTAAAACCATCAAGATGGTCTTCGTATTTTCATAGCTTATTAAAAAATATGATAAAAATATCTATCCGTCAATAAACCTCGATAATAATAACATAAAACAAAGATGAGAAATATTTGAAACTGTCTACTTCAAACAAGACGTGATTTCATAGTAATCCTTCATTTAAATCACCAAAATCCTGCTTTAGCCTTCTTTAAGTTGTCTGAAAAGGATACGATTTTTGAGGCTTTGTCCTTCTGGTAAGCTTTTAAAGACAATAAGAGGAAATATTAGTACATTTATTGTGTCTCATCAAAGATAATTATTCCACGCCTGTCTGTGGCAAGTCATACCGGTTAATCCAGTTATAAAGTTACCGGTTAGTCATACCGGTTAATCCAGTTATAAAGTTTACCACATAAACCGTTCATCCTGTTGTCAATTTACGATGAAAAATGTCGTTTTTCGTGTTACTTACTATTTAAACCTGTTATTCCTGTTGTCAGCAAAGTTCATGGCTGAAGGACTACCATCAGGCAATGCGGTCACTACCGATGAATCAGCGATGAATGGATGTTTGGAGAACCTGACGACGACATATCATACATTTGACTCTAATTGCCTGATTGGTTGCTTCATTAGGCTAATGATTACGTTAATGATATTCCATTGATTAATTGATTTTTTGATTATTTGGTTGATTGATTGATTAATATTGCAATTGATTGATTGATTGATTGATCTTGAATGATTGATTGATTGATTGAGACAGAAACAATGTATGTAGAAAGATAATGGTCGTAACCAAAATCGCTTTAAAATGCCATAATCTTTACTAAAAAAGAGGATGTACTATATCCGCGCTGTGCTACTAAAGGCGACCCACATAAACCTTCMAACTTACATAATGTTAATCTTGCTTTCAAAGATAATTGATCCACTTAAGTTACGTATGACCATCTCGGAAGCGATTTTGTCGGACATTTGCACCATACAAGCACCTGGCTTGTTAGTCAGAAATTTGACCTAAAAATCCAAACAAATAGAATCAAAAATTTGCTGTGTAACTACAACTTAATATCAAATAAAATTCAATAACAAATATTCTTGTTTTCTAATTGGCGGAGAGACAACCACGTGACGCGATGGTCCTTGCCGTGGAGGGGTACTATCAGTGCATAGAGCCCCCTGCTTGAAAACATATTTTTGTTGAGTTTCAAAAACAATAGAGCATTAGAAATATCGGGCATTTTGCTGTGATAAGTGTTCTTGGAAGCTGGTTCTCGGACGACCATTTGCTTTCGGAACATCAGAATATTAGAAACTGAACCTATTCATGAGCCCGTCAATTAAAAGAAGAAATGACAACTCTCCCGTAGCTTGCATACCATCTACGACGGACTTACTTTAATGACGTTGCCATACAGACAAAACAAATTAAAGATTCTCTCGCAGTTCATTTTCTCGTGGTTKAGTCCATATACCATCAACACACATCCCGTGCCACCAGCTGAAAAAAAGGACACGCAATATSATGAGAGTAAATCGTGACATATCGGAGAAGTAACACGACATTACAATGACAAGAAAACATCAGTGACGTAATGCAATAGCCGACTTGCGAATTACGCATCAATAGTCACATACAAAGGAATCAAGACGAGGCGCCGTGCTAAAGACAATAGATTTTCACAAAAAAGCACGGCGCCTCGTCTTGATTCCTTTGTATGTGACTATTGATGCGTAATTCGCAAGTCGGCTATTAAAATTAAGGTAACTCTGGTGTGCCACAATATAACAGCGTGACACAAAGAAACGTCAAAAAAGGTTCCTTAACTTATGTGACATCATTGTGACATCAGTCACGCAGTCATACCGAGTCACGCACCTGTGCTCAAAGCTTGTGTGCTGATCTGTGTAGCATTAGTAGTTGTTTGAGCTGYAGCAGTGTCTAAACCAGCCCACGCTCTGCCAACAGTGCGACTCCACTCGCTAGAGCTCAGCGGTGATGTGCCCAAGCTGTTCGAATGCACACCATTGGTGAGCGTCGTTTGTGTCTGTCCGAGCCCTGGTAACGCCCCTAGCAACCCTGGCTGAGACAGTTGAAATGGCGACGTGCCCAGAATTCCTAGCTTGGGCGAGCTGTCGGAGGCTATACTCGGAGGACTAGGTGCTAGAGATTGAAAACAAGTTTTATTCACATTCACTCGAAGGAATWAGTTTTTCTACGAATGGACGATTTTTTGTTAAATAGACAGCATTAYTTAGCAAGAAGCTTCATGCATGCGAATGTTATAAGAGTTACTTACAAGAACRAGTTACTTACAAGAAGTAGGAGGGCTTTTACTGCCCTGAAGAGAGGCAACCTTCGCTAGAATACCTGTCAATCAAACACATTACACCCATGAAGGCCCCTCAACACGATTAACGTTAAACATGCATTTCAACATCGAGAGAATCCTTAAAGCTTATAATTACAACAATGATTAACAGTTTTACCGTAGATGACCTACAAGAAACATCCACTAAACACTGTTATCGTTACTATATTATCATCCACACTAGAATAGAACACGGGMASCCTGTGGCAGGCAAAGCAAGGGAGGGGTTTGGAAATACTCGGAACCAGTGCTCCCACATAGACATTAAACAGGACGCCCACACTCACTCTGTACAGTTGGGAATGCCGCTGCTCGAGCGATGACGTCACTGGGAAGTGGTATAGAACTGCTGACTGAGCCTGCAAAAGCAAAGTGACTGGTAAAAGACAGTCATCTATATTATGAATAATATATTAAAAAATTACCATATCCATAATCATCACTCTTGGTTAAGCTACCATTGACACCGCTAGGTGGAGAGCTTGGTATCACGGGCTCACAGGTATCAGTACCTAATACGGAATTGCAATTTTTTATCAGAGTTTATAATAATAAAAAGAAGTGAAGAATCAACCATAAATATGACTATAATGTTAACGACTGATAATAGCATAATGACTTGCCTGATATTGCCGACAGCAAACCAGTGCCAAGTAATGATGTTTTGCTAGGAATTCCTGAAGTTGATAAATTCAACAATTTCAGATGGTCAAACAATTAAAATAGAAAGAGGATATAACTTGAGAGACCGTGACGTTCATTTAACAGCTGAGCTCTAGTGAATTGAGTCGCATTTTTGTGTTTTCATTTCTCTTGGGGAATACAAGAGAGAGATGCCATCCAAACGTCAAAGGCCCGCGTACATCCAAGAACTTTTCATTCGTTTCTTTTGTTTTAAAAAAGTGCTTTCAATTGGTTCAAAATCAAAGATGATGAATTTTAGAACGGGAGAAAATCACACAAAGGTTTTTGGATACACATGGACCTTTAATGAATTTTAATGTCTACAATTGTAATATACCAATTAAGTAAATTCAAATGATAATTATGAAGATTTGACAGTGATGGTACAGGGCAAACAAACTTCTATCTTTCAAGCACATCAAAATTCTTAAACTTCATCCCGAGTTGATCTTACCAGTAGTGCCATTAAGTGCTCCAGTATAGTCCCACGTTTCCTCGTCATTTTTAAAAACGTTTAGTTTCTTTGCTTTCTGTTAGATAAAATAATATATTCTATCAGCACCACAGAGCCATTTACAAAACATACTTTAACAGAACAATACAGGGGGTAAGGTTTGGGGACGTAGTTTATTCATAACAGGGGATGTAGAATGCACTACAGTAATAACCCACGCATAAGAACTAACGAGAAGAAAACGCCCACTTTACGCCCCMTCCATGTTGTCAGCTGGATTGTTGTATAATTGTATCGTTAGAAACCTCTGAATTAAGATCATCTATTTAAGAGTTTAAATAACTTCATATAACATTTCTGTTGTATGATACTATATATGATATATGGAAGAGCGTTAGGATTTGACTGGTTATCGTAAATAGGCGAGGTTGGAGAGGGAAATTGTTCCTACCTTTGAATAATCAATCTTTAAAGTACAGCAACCAGCATAGATATCCTGCCCGTTGAGACGAGCCAGCGCATTCTGGGCAGATTCGACGGTGTCAAATGTAAGACGAGTTAAAGAAGAAAAGTCATGCAAACACTATGTCACAAAATCATGTGACGTGACGATTAACAATTGCTCGTACCTTACGTCCACATCCAATCTCACATAAAAAAGACACTAAGGACTTCAAGTGTAGTTGCGTGACATAACAGAAAAACATTTGTTACAGGAGTTAAAATACTTCAGTTTTCTCGAGACTTAAAGACCTAAGTGCGTCCGAGAGCCTTTCCGCGATTTTCTCAAATCCTTGATTGCGAACCAATTTTAAACTACAGATCTGAGTCACAGAGTCAGTACAGAAGATATGAACGCAAAGATTCTCGGGTGCAAGTGGGTCTTTAAAGTGTCACATAAATCGACCCTAAATTATTACTCAAAATGTCACACATCGTTTTCATTGGTAGAYAAATAGTGTTACTTTGACAAAAGGATATTCAACCAAAGCTTGGAGGCCATTCTTATGGAAAATCACTATCCTTAGGACTTTACCGCTTATGCTGCAAATTTTATGTAGGATTTTCTGAAAAAAAAAAAAAATATTTTGGAAGATTTGTCCAGGCTCATAACCGCCACCATTTAAAAGGGCTACTTGGACGAAAATTGCGAAACATTAGAAAAGACTTAGAAAAGACTAAATCAAATAGACCTATCCATATGGGTCTAATAATCATGAAGCAACAGATTTTAAGAAGATATTGATACAAATCCTTAATAATTTGGGCAAAAAATGTTGGAGTAGATGGCGTCATTTACTCGATTTACTCCATCCTTTTGTTCTTCCATCTTTTGAATCAAAATCAGGACAATTCCAAAACAAATATTTTTCCGCAATTGTTTTTAATAGATATGTGAGAGTCATATATTTGTATTGCTTGAAGTTTTGAAATAAGACCATTTTCATGCAAGTAGCACTTTAATCATAATCACAAAAGTCGTCATCATCATCATCATCATCATACGTACCACATTAATCGGATGAAGAGGGTTTATAATGGTGAATAACAATATATTGCTGGCCTCCGCACTCGGACTTGAACTGTCTCCATTCATAACCTTATCTCTGAAACAACAAAGAATACTTATAGTCAACAAGTCAAGTGTTTGGTGTCAACACCAGCCAATGTCGAGTCCCCTCAACTCCTCCGCCTACTATTCGCAACCCATTGCACCAACTTGCAACGTCATTGCAGAATGTATCACCCCTCCTCAAGTCAAGTACGCTGTTTGTATGTGCGTAATTTCTCATTTCGAATGTCCGTCATCTTGATTCCTGCTTTCAGCCTGCCTCGTCCAAAAAATATTGAAAGTTGCTGGTGGGCATAATTGCGCAACGGCGTTGCAAGACAAGTTGCTGACAAAATTTCACAATGTAAAAACATAGCCTTTACCTACGACGACGCACACTACTAGCACCCATTCATAAACGTACGCGTGACGTCAAAAATGTCACTGAAGTAACAGTAAGAAAATGAAAAACAGGAAAGATGGAAAATGGAAGAAAATGAAGAGAACGGCGTACCTCTTGATCTCTTGACTTTTTGAATAGTTGACGAACATTTGTCTGCCAAGTACAGTGAGGGGGTTTGTCTACAAAGGAGRCACACGATTGCATGAATGACATAGCTTAAAACGATGGCGTGTGATGCAGCCATGGTAACGCAAGCATGCGTGGCATCATGGGAAATATGACATGAYTTTACCTGCATACTGAAATACATATATATCTCATACTTTTGAAAACTTCTTACCATAAACCCTCTTGTAAAAGAGACTTTCTCAATGTTTGAAGATCACATATCATATTTCCGCGAGCCCAAGATAATATCCTCTCACTATTTTTCCCACCCTTATATACTATATGTTTATACCATTCTTTCGATGTCTATCGCGTTCTCGTTGGCCTGATGATGCATTCGCCTGTCTCAGTCCTCTAATATAAGTAATGTGGCAGATGGAGAGCGCAAGAGAAGCAACCGCAGCTTGAGTTTCTGCTTGCTTCTCGAGTGCCCTCCATCTCCAACCAAGTTTACATAAAAAAACAATGACATACAAGTGGCCTTTAAATGGCTTTTCTATAAAAGAATTCTCTCTTTTTCGAGGTGTGAAYGGCAAACCATGCAAATATATGAACACGGTCATCAGCCAATGAGAGGGCACGTTATATATATAATACTAATATTTTGATAATTGCAAACGTTTTGATCATGTTTAAGTTAATCGGTATCTCAAAAACATAAAAATGTTGTTGTTTTTTGCAACCACACATAACAAAACTGGATGTACCAACCATGTGTTCTGCATCGGATTGTCTGTCGAAAGCTGACCGCTCGACAAAACCGAACGAAATTCAAAGAAAATGTTGTAGGTGTTGCGAATAATAAATCAACACTTCAAGCTTCTAAAGCTGAAAAAAATATTATCATATTTTGTCGTGAGAAAAAGAAGAAGTGCGCTTAAAAAACTTACCTGAGAGTACGTAACAACTGCAATGGCAGCCTCTAGTGTCTGGCAAACAAAAAATCGCAACATCAGGATAAAAACAATTCCCGATTCAACACTCTTTTMTGACGTCAAGAGTGGCTCGAAGAGTGCTTAGACGTCTGCACAATGGACAGCGTCATTATAAATCAAGAGACCAGAGMAAGGCGGTAGCTGTTTAAGAACGATTGAGGGAGAGGGAACCTTCACCGTCTTACTGTTTTTCGTCCGCGAAATATYAAGGATAGTGAAAAATATACAATAACAAAACAAAACCATTGTACAAATGGAAAGTGAGGAATAGCGTGTATTTGAGTTGAATTTCATATAATAGAACAGGGAAAAAAAAATTTGATTTATTGACGTATGATATAAGCTAATTTTAGTAGATTTTGTTAGAAACCAATTGGCTAAGATCTGACTGGGAACTTTCTAAAATCAATCCTTCGAAATGATTCTGCATCTTGGCCACATTACGTGCAAGGTATGYTCTGTATGAGCTTCTAGTGGCAAAAACAATCRAGCATCTTTTGAACGTACTTGGTTGTCGTTTGCACGAATCAGTCTACTTTGCATCCGCTAATTGTTCCCGTTTARAAAGACCCAGACATATGGTAGGTTAATTTTGGAAATGAAAAACGATAAACACTTCATTTATACTAAAGACTGCACAACAGGAATGTCGTTGGCTTTTGAGCTACTTGGAAGAGACACTTACCTCGAATTCAACCAATGCTTGTCTTATTTTTGGTAATAAAGTAACATAACTGTGGATAAAAGATATATATTGCATTAATAAATATTAAACTGAAGGCTAAGGCTTCAAAATGAGTTCCTCACGATTCAATGATAGTGTGGGAAAACAAAATGGCGGACGACGTCAACAAAACCAAARAAAGAATAAAAGGAAGCCAAAGAAGGAAGACCTACCGCAAGGCTGAGTCTATATTTACTCTTWGGATCATTCATCGAGTGCTTTTTTTTAATTTCCATTGGTCGAGGGGCTAGGAAGAATAAATTCCCCAAAAGCAGCTAACCCTGCCTATTTCTTCTTTTTCTTTTTCTTTTTTTTTTTGGTGGGGAAGAAAAATAACAAGTTGACAATAGGCTTGTGCACAGCAAACACATTTTAATCACTGTCATAACGAGACGCAATATTGATGGAATAAAAAAAATGTTTTGTTTCCTTTTTTTTCGAAAATAGGATTTGAACTAGTCTCCACTCTTCTAGGGGGAGAGACCTGGGAACGAGCCTCATAACGGCTGCGAGAGAAGACTAGATTTGAACAAGGTTGGTCCTGTTTTGGGATACCTGTCCCGTCAGGTGATATTTTGACTTGGCATGTTGCATAGCCGCCATGTTCGCTACCCAGCAATACTCAAGGGGAAGATTTAATTTCTCAGGTGAATCTCAAACCAAGAAGTAAAGCCTCATTCACAGGCAACTCCGTCGGATTCCTGTATTGAATCATAGAAAGCTGTCGGAGAAGACAGGCTTAGGAGGGAAGTTGATCCTAATCTCTCGTCACCCATTCTACTCGGTCGAGATCATCGACGCAAGACCAAAAAAAGTCTTTTTCCACTTAATTGGCCTRGGAAGGAATTTAGTTTTCAAATACTTTATGATTCTCTGTCTTGCAAAGCGGCGCCATTAGTATATTATCACAACAGACGTTGTGTGACTGAAGCCTGGTGTGCATTAGAATAGATAACACTGATTGAGATTCGTTGTTTATAGTTGGAACTGTACTTCACGATAGGGACACTAATCGGAATGTTATTGAATACAAAAATAACTTTAATAAACAAACTTCCTAAACCCWGGTCACCAAAAATAGAAATTAAAAAAAACGTTTATAAAGTCGTTTAAGTTGACCTTTGTACTATTAGCTGATCACTAATGTGTACTAATCCAATAGAAATAAAGAAAAACAATTACATGTAAATAAGGGGTAGCCTTCTTGYCAGACTGTTCCTGGTGGATGCGTTTGTTTTCAAAATTTTCATCGATAACTGAGCATTTTTTCTTATTAGAATCTGCGAAGGTTAGCTACAGAGTTGTCTAGTGTCATAGAGGGGTCGTCATAATTCATCTGACCGCCCGTTTTAGAGGGGTCGATATATAGCTATGTTAAGCCCCTACAACCATCGCATACAACCTGCGTACGGCTTCCTTATACAACATGGGTACAACTCTGACTACACCCGTGTCATAGAKGTGTTCGAYACTGRTTTTCATGGCAACACGGCCTTTCTATTTCACGCATCATGCGATATTGCTATAACATTTTGGATATCCATAATATATAGGGAGTTTAAGAGAATTACTAAGGTCAGTGCGTGAACTAGAGATGAACTCGACAACAGAGATTCGACCTGGTCCGAACTCCATCACTTATTGTTCAGGGATTACTCAAAACACTCTWGCTGAGAATCTCTTAAGTAAAGGTAAATCGTTTGAYRAGTAATCCGATTGTTCAACCAGTGATAAACAATTAAGTTAATTGGACGAGATCACGGTGGGCTGTGGTTACGCGAAATCACAACTGATCAACGCACGTAAATTACGCAAGTCTACCATTTTAAGGACRATTCAAGAGGTCATATATTAGATTGTCCGATATTCCAATTAAGACATATGCTGTGACGGCTATTCATAATAAAATCAAGAGACCGTGGCGGCATTCATGAAATATGCAAGTGAATTACTCTCTGAAAATCGCCTATTCAAAACAAATATTTWWRAAAATGTAGACTTCRTCAAATCCGCTCTTTTAATA